GCTCACGCCAGCGAGCGAACGCTGGACCAATGGTGATCCTCGTCCTGGCTTTTCATTTGTCACTATGCCTTTTTCTTTTCTTTTTAGTGTCCTCTGACAAAACCTTTGCCTTCTTCATTGTAGCTGTTGGTTCGGCCATGACGAAAACATACAGACGGCAATCAAACGCGAGTTGAGCACTCACGTCAGAATCTGAGGAAGTTGTGGGTGGTGGGGGAAGTGACGTATGCCGTAAAGCGGTTGAATTTTGTAGTTCTTTTTGTGCTCGGGTTCCTACCCGAAACCCGAAGTTACATAGTGCTAGGAAAAGCGATACAGACACCTTCAGGCTACGGCAGACGTGTCATTCAACCTATTGTAAGTCGATGTACCATCTCAATGGGTTTTGGTAATATATTATAAAGGTTGAAAAGTTCCACAGTGTGCCTTTAACAAAGCAATTGCCGCATTAATGCAAATTACTACTACTACTACCACTACCAAAAAATAAATAAAAACGTTTCAAATATATCGGCTAATGGAATCAAAAACATTCTGCTTTTGTCATGAATATTGATAATCTAATAAATATATAGATGGAAGGCGCAGCTGTTTGTGCACACAGCGTCACATCCAGGTGTGTCTGAGACATTGAAACCGGAATACACGCACACTGAAGCTCTGATTGTAATGCTCTTTGTGTTGTGGGACTAAGGCATCCCCTCAATCTCCTTTACCCTCCTCCACGGTCATGGATCTTTGCAGGTGATGATGGGAGAGTGGCGGCATCCTGACGCAAAAGCTGCTGCGTGATGTTGATGCGTGCCGTCCGCACCCACCCCTCCTCACTGGGTTGTTTTCTCATCCCAGCATGCCCTGCTTACTCTGACGCTGTTGGCTCTCACACTCACCCCCACCTGAACAATTGAAGCGCCGTTGAGCGATTTCCCCCTTATCTGCTCCGGCCCATTCACGTGGGGGGCTCGCAGATTGCGTCAATGCCCTCAGCTTGCTTTTTTGTCCTGGCTTGTCTTTCTTTCCTTCTTCCCCTATACCCTTCTCCTACTGGCTAAAGCACACGCTCGCTCGCCCCTCCCTTCATCTTTATTTACGTTGTCCTTCGCTTTTGCACCTGCCACCGGGGAAAACGTTTCAGTTGAAATGTTGTCACATGTATTGTGATCTGTCGTGTATTGCGTGCCATTGCAGGTTGCGGAACTTGGACTTGGCTGGAAAGGCCCCTATTAAACGAGCCGAGGTGCAAACGAAGGAAAACTATTGGTGGGCAAAGACCAAAATCTTTTATCACGCTATGAATACATTTATTTCACAATAACGATATATTCTACTACAATATGGTAATTTTTGCTTTAAATAATGTTTTATGCTAAATGTTTTTGATACCATTCAATTAAATCTACATTTATTTTTAATAAAGTTCTTCGTTTACGAGGATAAGTCAGATAATTGGCAGAGGTATTTGTACACCATTGAGGACATATTTATGAATAAAAATATTGATTTTAAATAATAAAATGCATTAAAAAGTACACATTGTCCCTTTAAAAACACATTCAAATGATAAGCTTCGGTGACAGCGCAGCACGGCAACATCATGTCTCTACCAGTTAATCGTGTCCACAGGTATACCCCTAATGAAAACGGTATATTCCTTATGAGTTGAAAGTTTTTTTTTATGGAATATTGCAGTATTTATTATAAATGATTTATCCGTGCATGTCATTATTCTTTTTTTAAATAATGTGCCCTCATAATCTTTCATCAAAAGAACTTCCACTCGTACTTGCAGCGACATCTCTTCTCTGATGATGTGTTTTTTTTTTGGTGGGAGGGCGAGACAACCTGTCAATCATATCCAACGATCCAATCAATTCAATGGACCTGCTCTACATTTTTTCATGTTCAAAAAGACGTTTCACTCATACGTCTGAATAGAGAATAAAAACTATCACAGCTTCTGTTTCATGCTGACTTTTAAAAGGGCCTTTTTTCATTTCAACATTCTTTAGTCTGTAATGTTGATGTTTGAGCGTAAAAAAGGTCTGCAAAGTTACAAAGAACGAAGTCCACTCGAAAGGGAGTTATTATCTGTATCCTTAACCACTGTTTCTGAACTCCTGAAACATCTCGATTGTAGTCTTGAGTTTTCTTCTGGGAACATACACGTCACAATATTCCTAGTATAACTAGTGTTACTATCGACTGGGAAGAGAGGTGCTGCAACAATGTAAAAAAAAAAATATTCAAGCCTTAACGTATTCTAGGAGACCCCCAAAACAAAATAAAGATTTTGTAAAAGGGCATAATTTTGCCTTTTTAACAGTAAAATGATAACAATAGTCATTGTCTTTCAGACTGGCCCCTATTTTGGCCTTTCCGTGACTCCTGCATTCCCCATCTTCCACTTGAAGTGAGTGATTTATAGTCAACCACATCCCAGCACCGCTAACGGTTATGTTGCTTGGAAAAAAGGTCCTCATGTACAGTCGTTTTAGATTTGTTCCCAGCATGTGTTGCTTTCCTCAGCTGGCGTCTTTTCTCCTGGAATGATGACGCTCGTTCACTGGAAATCTAATATCAAATTATAGGCCTCAGGAAGCTGGAGAGGAGAAATGTTAAGGGGGGACACACACATTTGCATCACAGTTCTGTAGTCACAGTTTCAGTAAATAGTTGGTGTGTTGCTTTTCAGGAGGTACAATTTGGATACCGATATTTTAACCCTTTGATTGGTTGTTACCAGTCTGATTGCTGCAAAAAAAAAAAAAAATGCTGCAGAATAATGCACTGTAAATTACTGCCAAAAAGGAGACTGAATATATTTTGTCACCATAGTGGTGGTCATAGGGCTGATATTGGTAATTTAGATTATTTATCTATTTATTATTATTATTATTGGCCAATACATTTGCCATCATCAAGCACTAATAGAGGACTATTATTTAACCAGTGCCCCAGAAGAATCTTAAGGATCAGTATTGGGGCTGATTAAGTATTTTTTTAAGCATCATATCGGCTATCCTAAAGCGACATGATCCAATTCATTTTCAATGTAGGGCTGGCGACTTCCCGCGACACAAGCGACAGTGACCGTTGGCAACAGAATGTAGAATCAAGTGACAGGAGTCACGCGACAAAAGTTCATTTAAAATGAGCAGCGAATTTTGCGACAACCAACAGGAGTGACGAATGTCAGTGCCAGTGGAGCTCACACCACCGTCTCAAATGCAGCCAATACAGGACTGAGTTCCGGAGCGATTTCACGGTTTAAAAAGATTGGACTGTTACCACATACATGGATTAAATGATGCGTGGAAAAGAAACTGTCGCCAATCTTAGTGAGTCTGATTCATACATTGATAATTCGTGTTGTTAATTATATGATTCAGTGAACAGTTTCTCCTGCATTATTGATTATTACAGACAAGAAAATTGATTATTTGTCATTCTGGACACTTTACAATTCTTACACATTTTATGTTATACAGATTTAGTCTTTTACTAGTAAATGTGTCTTGAATATTTAAATAAATTTATCCCTGGTTTCATTCTATATGTTTATTAATTGTGTGTGTTTCTTTTAAAAAATTTTAATGAATACATATTTAATGTTCTTGCCATGAGAATAGCCTTAAATGCTGACATGGCATAAACAAGTAAATAAATAAAAATATTGATATTTTCAAAAGTATTGTATGACATGACTGAACTACACTATGTATGCAAATCAAACCATAAAGTTTTTTTCATTTTTTTTTTTCTTATGGGAACCATTTCACCTCTAGTATGTATGCAAGTAAGGCAAAGAATGTTTGAAGAGTTGTTTTTCGGCCATACAAACACCCTCCCTCCCTGCCTTCCTCAGACAGGCCTAACACACACACACACACATGCTGAGAGTCAGTGGAAAACACGCTGATGTCGTGTCCCTGGGGAGGACGTCTCGGTCCCTTTGACATTATGTTGTTGGGTTAGGGTTAGAGGGTTAAGTCAAGGCCTAAAAACTCCCTGCTGGGCTAGTGCTGATTATAAATAGAGTGTTAGGTCACAAACTATCAGTGAAGTGATCAGATTCAGGAGCCTACGTGCAGAAGTGGGCGAGAAAGAAGGCGAGTTCCCGGAGGGGATCGATATCAGAGAGCTGTTCTGACTGTGCTCGTTTCAGTTCACAGAAACACGGCTCACAGTATTAGCCCAAAGGTTTCTGATATTTAAGTGTTTGTTGGGTGCTTGTTTGAAGCATTTTGTTAATGATTTAAAGGTGATCGTTGGCATTAGTCATGGTTTTGTTTAAAGTTTGACGTGTTTTTTACTTGGAGAGGAATATTCTCCAACCTTTTTAGTTATTTTTAAACTTCTAATTATGAGGAAGTACATGTTGTTTGCTCCAGAAATGTAGTTTAACCGAGTCATATGCAGGTCACTTGGACTGATTAACTGATGATCTATTTTTATGAGTTTTTGACTCATTCTCTCCTTTGTAACACTGTCCTGATCGCTCCTAACGGATGTGTCCATGTGCACAAATACATTTTCACTGCTATTTTCTTCTTTGTGATTAATTAACACTTTCCATGTAAACTCGGAGACCAAAATAAAAGGGGCAAAGGAAGAGCAGGAAAGGAAAAACCTCAGCAAAGGAAAGACTCCAGCAATGGCTTCATTGTTCCCTCAGCCTCATAACCCAGATTCAACAAGATTAAATGATACAATCATCACAGGGCTGAGAATTTCACAGTTATCACCTTATTTTTTCCACTTTGATTCATGTAGTTGTGCGCTGTAGTATCGTACAGTATCTGAATGGAATTCAGCGGTCTGAACTCCATTAGACAAATACGGGGTAACAGTGAATCTCATGAAGAATCTTGATCATATTTCACTTCAAAAGCAAAAATTAAATAATGTTTTGCATAAGCCATTTTTTAGGACCCTTGATCACATGTTCTTTTGATTGGCTATTTTGTCCAATTACTAAAACACCTCATTTTTCCTTCCAGGCAATGGTGGCGTGTTACCCTGGCGATGGGACAGGATATGTACGGCATGTGGATAACCCTAACGGAGATGGGAGATGTGTCACATGCATATATTACCTGAATAAAGACTGGGATGCCAAGGTAGGAGTTTTCTTTTCTTCCCCCTTCCTTTGAACTTTGATCTTGTATACGTTCTGTAGCATGTAAAACTGCATGAGATTGTTTAAGCTCTTCTCTGTTTGTTTAGGTATCTTATCTGATGTAGACTGCTTAAACTTGCATCTGAGCTTGCATTCAATTCAATGGAAGTTCAAAACCAACCTCGTGCAGAGAGTTAGCTGTTGGTACTTTACATAAATAGGCCACACAAGAGACTGTTTATGTGCTGTTATTAGAGGTCTACTAGAACAGTGAAACTTTGGTTTATGTTGGGTTTGTATATAATAGAAAAATACATTTAAGAAAATATATAGTGTTTAAGTTTTACGTATTTGTACATTGTACTGCAAATTGATGGAAATAAACGTATTTCTAATCAGTTGACCACGTGGGCATCACACAAAAACACAGCACAACCAATAGTCCGATTCATAGAGAAATGACTCATTTTCTTTATTTTTTTTTTGGGTGAATCAGAAACACAGTGTAGCCCGACTTCTGAAACAAAATACTTCAATAAGCCGATTTTCTTTGTTCTTTTTTTGGGGGGTGAATCAAAACCAAACCGTGCAACCAGTGTCAGCCTATTCCTGAAACAAATAACTCTTATGAGCTGGTTCTTTTTGGTAAATCAAACGGTAACGCAATTTATGTAATCTGATTACTGATACTATTTTTCAAGTAGTAAAGTAACGCATTACTTTTAAATTTGCAGCAAAATATCTGAGTTACTTTTTCAAATAAGTAACTCAAGTTACTTTTTTTTTTCATTGACACCTCTCCTGTCCCAATGTTGAAAGAAATCAGGAGTAAGTGCAGAGGCGTTGTGTATGCCGTGTAAACATAATGCTTCTTGTAGTTCTAAACTAAATGTGAGAATGCATTTACTCATCTTACTTGCACAAAAACAGTCTTTATTCTTCCAAATGAATAAAAACAGTGAAATGCAAACTCAAAATATTACACAAACCTGCAATAATTAAATATGTTAAATTATACAATGTACTTTATGTATTTAATCTCACTTTATTAACCAAAGTATTTGCTGCTGACCTTCAATGATCCAATTCAACCATAGGAATAAGCAAAAATGACTTTAGATAAACATTACATTAAATGTTTTTTGGTTTTTTTTGCGGAAGTAAGAGTGTTGAACTTTCCTGCGCCCTATTACAATCCAGAATGGCAGCACAGCTGCAAGGTTTGTTTGAGATTCGCCCTCTACTGTACAGGTGTGAATTTGTACTTCCCTCAGCTTAGGCTTGTTCAATTATTTTTTTAGTGTGAAATGGCCAAAAATAGCACTTTTCCGGGTTTTTTAAAATGAAAAAACAAGCAAGCCCAGCCGAGGAGTAACGCAACACTACTTTCCATAAAAAGTAACTAATTAATGCACTTAGTTACATATTTAGGAAACGCAATATATATATATATATATATATATATATATATATATATATATATATATAATATATATATAATATATATATATATATGATTATTTCCAAAACAAATGACTGGTTCTTGAGTCCCGAAACATTACGAACTGGTTCTTTTAAAGAATAGTTCAAATAAACAACTTTATTTAATGATTTTAATATGTCTAACACAGCCCTGTATACTGTAGTGGACACAGAATGGTTACTAAAATATACCTAATTGAGTCATAATCTAATCAAAATTGGAAATCTGTATAGATAACTTCTGCCTCCATTCTTATGGTTATGTTAAACATTTACTGTTGAAGTTCCATGGGCGTTCGCTGTGACTGCAGGCCTAACATTTTCCACTGCTGACTCTACCACCTTCTGTCACCTTCCAGCTGTTAAAACCAGCACTGCGTCAGAGAGCGCTTCTGCTCTAGAACATTCCGACCGGCCATGGAAACCATCCAGAGTTGATCAGAGGTTCTTATATGAAGTGAATGTTAAAGAGAGAGTTGGACAGTTTCACAGGCAACATACTGGGATGGTAGAAGGATGTATTGTTTAGTCTACATTAAACACTCAAGGGCATGTTGCTCTTTATCTAGATGCTGTTAAAGGTTGAACTCGCTCTTTGCTTGAGGCTCGTAAGAATGCAGGACAGTCTGCAAAAGAACCCCGTTTTCTTCCAGTCATCGGTTTCTGAATCAGTGCTGTGATGTAAGGATGGGTCACATCTCACACACATACAACCCTGATATTTTCCATCCTTCTCAAGCTGCACAGGATGCCAGTAATACATGGTATGAATTCAAACGCTCTCTCTCTCATATCTCACCCTCTTCTCTGAATGGAGAAGAAAATAGTCGTCTCACGCAACCTGTTGTCTTGGCTTATGTAAAAGCCACAGTTGTGTCAGATTTTTTTCTTTAAGCTAAATTTAGCAACAGGTTCAATGTCCTGGGGCAGGAAAAAAGACATTCCCTCCCAGAGTTTTCCCACAACAGTCTGTTCTGTGTAAATGAAATTTGAAATTGAATTTTAATGTTTTTGAAATATGTCTTTTATTCTCACTAAGGCTTTGTTAATTTGATCAAGACTATAGTAACAAAAACTAATATTGTAAAATATTACATTTTAAAGTGTTCTATTTGAATATGTTTTAAAATAAAATAATTATATAATTCCTTATATAATATACACACACACACACACAAGTACAATTCATGGGGTGGAACTTTTTAATGAAGAAAAGTGGACAGTAGTTTAAATTGTGAAGTATTTATAACTTATAAGTGCTAAATTAAATGACAAACAAATCAAATTTTATAACACAGCTGTACAGAAAATATTGCAATCCACACAACATAGTGGGAGACATATCAGAGTTGAAAAGAGAACAAATTGTTGGTGCTGGCTCATCTGAAAGCCCTACCTAAACCATACTAATAAATTATTGTTGTCTAAAACGGTTTCAGTTTCACTGTCCAACCCCTGGAATATACCATAATTCTCATCTGCTCACTCTATAGGACCATGGTGGCCTTTTGCGGATCTTTCCAGAGGGAACCTCTCAGTTTGCAGACATAGAGCCCAAGTTTGACAGACTTCTGCTGTTTTGGTCAGACAGACGGAACCCACATGAGGTCCAGCCAGCTTACGCCACAAGGTCAGTGACACATTTCATTTTGTAAAATAGTTCTGTAAGCTGCTAATGCTTGTATACAATTCTGTGTGAATTCATGTGCAGGTATGCAATAACGGTGTGGTATTTTGACGCTGATGAGCGAGCTCGAGCTAAGGAGAAATATCTAACAGGTGAGGTCTGCTCAAACATGACCAGGCACTTACATTGATCCTGAACAACATTATCTATAGATCTCTGTGCTGTATCTATGGGATTATGGCCAGACTGCTTTGTTGGAGTACTAGTTAAAGGAGCAGTGCAGCCAAAAATGAACATTTACTCACCCTCATATTGTTGTTTCACACCCATATGACTCACAAAACACAAAAGTAGAAATTTAGCAGGTTGTTCACGCCACTCTTCTATCGAGTAGAAGTAAATGGTTACTTTGGCTGTCAAGCATGCAGCTAAAAAACAAGAGGAGCACCATAAAAGCAGCTCATATGATTCATTATAGGTTTTCTTGCACACATTTCAGGCTGTTTCTTACACAGATGATCTATCGTATTGTTTCAGAAGTCTCACAGTATACAGTAGCGTTCAAAAATTTGGGGTTAGTTTTTGTAAAAAGTCTCTTATGCTCAACGCATTTATTTGATCAAAAATACAGTAAAAACTATCATTTTGTGAAATGTTACGATTTAAAATACGTTTTTGATTGGAATATTTTTAAAATGTAATTAATTCCTGTGTTGGCAAAGCTGAATTTTCAGCATCATTACTCCAGTCTTCAGTGTCACATGATCCTTCAGAAATCATTCTAAGTAATTTGCTGATTTAGTGCTCAAGAAACATTTATTATTATGATCAATGTTGAAAACAGTTGTGCTGCTTAATATTTTTGTGGGATGTTATTTCCTGTTATAAACCAATAAACAATCAATTTAACCATGATGCATTTTGTTTCAAGATTCTTTAAATAGATATCTCAAAAGAACAGCATTCATTTGACATCATAAATGTCACTTTTGATCAATTTAACGCATCCTTTCTGAATAGAAGTATTAGTTATCAGTAACCGCTCACTTTCATTGTCCAAACTGCTTGTATGACATGAGGGTGAGTAAATAATGACAGTATTTTCATTCACGATGAAGTATTCCTTAAAATAATGAAATAATGAACCACAGTGGGTAATCTACCTAATAACAGATATGGATTGTCAGAGAGAGCGAAGAGCAGGTCTGTATTCACCTGACATTTTTCTTTCTGTCTTTTAGGTTCTGGTGAAAGGAGCGTTAAGGTGGAGCTAAACAAGCCGTCAGAGCCCAGCTAATGAACGAGGGATGAATGAAGAGGAGTGTACAGGGTTGGACCTCCAGTGTGCTCCAGAGAGATGATGAGCAGAGGGCAGAAGAAAGTCAGGAAGCGACTTTCTCTCATTCACCTCTCCATCTGTCATCTATAAGGGGCTTCTCATAGGGACTCAGAATGTGAAGACAGGCGTGAAGACACATTTTTTGTGTTTCCTTAATGAAGAATGCAGGCTTACATGAGCATAGGATGGACATAATGCGAAACTTGAGGGTGTTTGTGCACTTGTTCAACACAAGATTTTGAGCTATGACCCCTACAGTTTCCTTCCCCGGTCCCCCTTGTCAACTTTATTATTGCACGTGTTAATAAAGGTACAGTTTTGTTTGGCAAGGCATATGCAGAAACAACACAGAAAACCCCTTTTAAGGTTAGAAGCTCTGTGCAATGTCCTATACGTGTTATTCTGCTCATAAACCATTGGATTTGTGTTTTTGTATGGCTCTTAATTCCCCTTTCCAATCTCTCCTAATTGGAGCCACAAGGAACGTGATTTATCATGGCTTCCACTTGTTGCTTAGTCACCGGGAGCATTGCTGGATTGTCTTTGCTAGTCATCAGCGATATGTCTGTTGTTGCAGACGTTACTGTATGTCTCTCCTGTCTTAAGCCAAACTTGACATCTCATGTCTAACAGCCCTGAGTTTTAAATAAAAAAAAAGCAGTTTTCCTAAATACATCTTGTTTTACTGTGTGTACATGTTTTATTTGTTTCATCTTATGTTGTCTTATGGTATTAACCTTCTTGTCACTAAAAGTCATGTGACATTCATACACTTTTTCTGTGTGTTTGGAGTCCTGCAGCACCCTCTAGCTGTTTGTAGCGGCTAATACAAATCTATCATTACACATGAACTGGAAGAGCATGAAGAAAGGCTTCCACATGAGAATGGAGACTTGTTTACTAACAGAATGGTAGAAAATATTGCACACTAGACAATGTATCACTACCAGTGAAATATGAGACCTACAGTATATTGTTTTTGCAGCACAACAGCACTGGGTCACCAACATATTTCCTGCATACTTAGAATAATTTACACAAAAATATGAAGAAACACTGTCTTAAGCATTGATAATAAGAAGAATGGCTGCTGATAATTCAGCCTTTCCATCAGAGGGATAAAGTACATTTTAAAATATATTCAAATAGAAAACCGTTCTATTAAATTGTAATCAAATTTTACAATATTAGTGTATTTGTGATCAAATCAATGGAGCCTTGATGAGCATAAGAGACTTCTTTCAAAAACATACTTCACGGCCGCATTAACAATAGGGCTAGGCGGGGCTAAAGCCCCGGGGCCCGAGCAAGGAGGGGGCCCGTGATTGGCTGTGGAGTAGATACTAGCCATCTGATTGTCAAAGCCTTACCACGCAACGCCCCCCACAAATTAGCCCTGTTATTTAGTGGCGCTTTGCCGTATATTCCATTCATTATCATGGAATCATTAATATTATAGTGACCGTTCGCAAAGACCCGCCTTTTTTAGTTACTGTGTGACAAGCCAGTTGGCTCTCACGAGTCACGCACATCATGTTCTCACTCACGCACTGGAAAATACATCGCGGGGCAAAGACTAACATTACACAATTGACTACGAGTGAGAGTTCAGAGCAGCTTACTGTTGATATGAAACAAAGTCTCAACTTTCAAATATTGTCATTTAAGTAATTTAAACAATACCGTTTTCAAGTTCAAGTCCACCGACGATCTACTGACAGCTTTGTTGTCGGACAAAATTGCGTATTCGGCGTTATGATTGGCCAGTTCACCTGTCAATCAAACCCCCGTGGGCAGCAAGGAATGGTGAATTGAAACGTCACGTTTTAATTTGATATAACAAATACATTTATTCTATAAAATTGAAGCGTCACGTTTTAATTTGATATAACAAATACATTTATTCTATAAAATTGAAGCGTCACGTTTTAATTTGATATAACAAATACATTTATTCTATATTTAACTTGTGAACATCTACCTGCTGCTGCACGTAGGCCTATAGATGGCTGCCTGCGCCTTATTAGAATATATGCATCAACCAATCAATCGCCTCCACTCTTCACTTCATTAGACTATTCTTAAAACACATGCGTCATCATCGACCCCACAAATTTTCGTAAGTTTGATTATTAACTTGATGGATGTATGATGCTTTTTGTGTTTGATCAAACTCTATTTAACTCTTGGTTTTGAGACCATGGTGAACTTGAGACGGTTTTGCACAGCGCACTTGAGTTCCGACCCTGAGGTCTTAAAGTGACAGTAGCTGCTAATAAAGCTGCTGTCGCCATTTGTGTCCATAATGTTAATCAAACATCAGAAATAAAGTAATTTACTGCCCTTGACTGAATCACTTTTGTAAAATTAATAAGAATGAATGTTGAATTTATAGTGAAAACTATGTATTATTTACAATATAATATTATTCAGTGCTTTAAGTTTTTCAAGTAGGTCGATTTCTTATGTGCCTTTGTTCTATTGTTATTTGTGACTCTTGTCATCAGTAAGCTTGAGATTCTTTTCTTAAGCTACTATTATTTTTTGTGATATTGAAATTGGTCACAAGAATTATGAAATTTTAGTGGCATAGAATTTTGATATGATAAAAAATCGTATTAAAAGTAATGTAACTTAACTGTGAAGTATATCATAGATGAATAAAATTACTCGTATAATGATAGAACATTTAGCTCATGTAGTTGGTGACCTAAAGTGGTGGTGGGGGGGCCCTGCAGTAACTCATAGCCCCGGGGCCCAGTGAGCTCTTAATGCGGCCCTGTCTGTATATAGTACATGCAAAGTCGTAAAATACGACTGGAATTTGAAATCATATCACAGAAGCATTACCACCAACATCCAGAATCGTCTGAAAGGATTGGAGGTATTGAAGTCCTGTATCCTGCAGCTTAGCGCCACAGAACTCTCAGTACAATGGGGATAAAGTGAAAACAGGCCTAAAGGTCTTTTACCGATACTCTGACGCGGCTCTAGTAATTGAGGATTTCATCCAACTGGGAGAGGAGGGTTTAGTGTAATGACTACATGCCTTAATTAGCCATTTTATTAACTGACTTCGAAATAATCCACTTTAATGAGTAACAAAAAGTTAATCTGGGGACACAGGATTAGTGTTACCCCTGGTGTTACCAATACCTACACATTCAGCCAAACCAGTGCTACAAATGCAGAGATATTTTAAAGATGTGGGCTAGCCTATAAGTGACTGTATAATATAATATAATAACAACAAAGAATCTCGTAAGTAGCCTAGCTTTTAGGTTGAAAATTCCAGTTTATCGAGTTGCGTCGCTGTGTTGATGCTGGCTTCACACTCTCGCGCTCGCTTCATTGATCAGAACTTGAGTCACGCTTTATGGTGAGTGAAAGAAAAGCTGGGATTTAAAGTTTATCATCACCGTTTGACGCGTGTCACTTTGACCATAAACCAATTTCATGTTTACTCGATATTTTTCTTATTTATTTACAGCTGTAATTAAATGCTTTAAAGAGTTGAGACTGTATGATTTCAAAATTGTTACATTTATTTTATCAGCACTATCCTGCATTTTGTTACAAGTCTGCAGGTTTCCATTTCGCTTAAATGTGTTGTTGTATTTTTATTTATTTAAGTTTTTAGATAATGGCCAGTGTTGAATTCATCAAAGACCTTTGTACTCCAGCGCTGGTCATTGACCTGGATAAAGTGAAAAGAAATGCTGAAGGAATGCGGGCGCGCTTCCAGAAACTGGGGGTCCAGCTCCGACCTCACATGAAAACACACAAAACACTGTAAGATTCTCATGTCAACAACACCAGCCGCTTTATCTATTATATTATTTCACTTGAAAATGCTCAAACATCTTGCTTGCAAAAATACTTTTATAATATGTAATTATATGTTGTATGTTATTAACTATAATTCACTGGTGGTTCACTAGTCATGTTGTAAATATGTATTTGGACACTTAAGGCACTAAAAGCAATAGTTCACCCCAAAATTAAAATTATCCCATAATTTACTCAATCCATCCTAGACGTATATGACTTTCTTCATTCAGCCGAACACAATTGGAGTTATATAAAAAAAATATCCTGAATCTTCTGAGCTTTATAATGGGAGTGAATATAGTGCCATTCATCAATTCTCACCTAAGCTTATGCTACATCATGCGTCGGGTCAGAGGTCACTCTTCCGCCAACTCGACTCCCGTACGGCCGTTCCCGGAAGCCACTGATTATAGTTTAAAATATGGGTAGCTTTCTTACAAAAACCCATCACTTCGCTTCAGAAGGCCTTTATTAACCCACTTTTTGGAGCTTCAAAAACTCGGGCACTATTCAAAGCTTGGAAGAGCCAGGATATTTTTAATATAACTCAGACTTTTGGGTGAAAGTCATATACATCTAGGATGCTTGAGGCTGAGTAAATTATGGGATAATTTTCATTTTTGGATGAACTAAAACATTTGAATATCTTATATATATATATATATATATATATATATATATATATATATATATATATATATATATATATATAAACTATCAAACCAAGTTGCATTTATTTGAAATATAAAAAAATAATATAACAAACACTTTTCAAACAAACCATTTCTCAAAAAGAAGTTTTGAAGGTAACACTTTACAATAAGATTCCATTTGTTAACATTATTGATTCATTATTTCAATTAGTAAATACTTCTAATGTCTTTCCCCCATTTAATCATTAAATCATTGTTTTCCCATCTTGAATGTTACATGTCTGTTGTTTTCAGGGAATGTGCGGACATCATGACAGGAGGCTCTCGTCGTTGTATCGTGGTTTCTACTCTAGCTGAGGCATTATTCTATGCTGATAATGGCTATGATGATATACTGTACGCATACCCACTGCCATTTGATAAAGTGGAGCACTGTGCTGAGCTATCTGAGAGACTTTCTCTATTCCACATCCTAGTGGACAACCGCCTTGCCCTACAGGAACTCAAGAGGAGACCTCTGAAGCAGGGAAAAGTCTGGAAGGTGTGGATGAAACTGGATTGTGACAATGGGAGAGGTAACACTTGAAGAGGGAGTTCACCAGATGTTTGAAGTGCGGTTTTTGGGTGTATTGCAGTAAGATAAGTTTGTTTGTTTTGTGTTTCGACAGCGGGTGTTCCTCACTTTGACCCAGCTGCGCTGAAACTTGCCCAGGAGGTCTCGGATACTGCAGGGGTGGAGCTGACAGGCATTTACTCCCACTGTGGGAACACCTACGGCTGTCAGGGGGAGGAGCAAATCAAAGCCGTTGCTCAGGAAACCACTACCATCACTTTGCAGTTCATGGAGAAGTATATGCAGACATCATCTATCGCTCACTGGAAGTTTATCTTTAAAAACACTGATCGTTTAGCTATACTAATAAAAATATTCATTATTATTATACCTTACACTATACATTATAATATTGTGATCCCTAAGTTTAATTGTATCATTTGAAATGATTGATTTTAGTTTTTTTAGTATTTTATTTTTAAATTATGACAACAAAGCAAATAAATGAACAGCACTAATAAATGGAAACTTTGGCAAAGAAATGAATAAAAATAAATATTTTCTATTGTACGTTATAATATTTTGATGTCTAAATTCACTTGTAGCAGTTAAAAATGACTGATTTTATGTTGTTTTTTTATTTTTTATTTAGACAGCAAAGCATATCATTTTTAGCACGGATCATTTAGCAACACTAATAGATGTAATCTTTTGCAAAAAACATTAAAATGATAAGTCATTTTTTTTACACTATGCAATATGCATTATAATATTGTGACCTCTAAATTCACTTTTAGCATTTGAAATAATTAATTTTATTTTTAATTTATTTAGACAACAAAGCATGATCATTTTAGACGCTGATAATTTAACAACATTAATAAGTGTAATCTTTTGCAGAAATTATACAAAAATCTTTTTACTATACATTATAATATTGTGATGCTTAAATTCACTTGTAGCAATTAAAAGTTATTGATTTTACTTTGTTTTTAATTAATTTAGACAACAAAGCATATAATTGTAAGCATTGATAATTTAACAACACTAATAAATGTAATCTTTTCATATTATACTATGCATTGTAATTTGACGCCTAAGTTCAGCATCTAAAATAATTGAGTTTAATTTTAGTGTTTTTTTTATTTATAATTCAACTTTTTTTTATTTGCTTTAGTGTATTATAATATTGTGATGCTTAAATTCACTTTTATTTAAAATAATTGATTTTAATTTGTAATGTTTTATTTTTAATCTATATAGATGACAAACATAATTGTAAACATTAGTAAATGTAATCTTTAACAAAACAAAAAAAATTATATTGTACATTATAATACTGTGATGCCTAAATGTATGTGTAGCATTTAAAGTTAATAATTTTTTTTTTTTAGTGTTTAATTTTTAAAGAAAATAAAGCATATAAATTTAAAATAGGGATAAAATGAACATTATCATCAGCTTATCATAATTTCGAAAGTTTTAATATTAGTCCATCCCTTCTCAATATGCATCTGACTATCCATAGGCTGAAGGCTGCCGGGATACACACCCCCAAATCCAGCATTGGCTCCACCCCTTCCTGTAGCCACCCAGTTCCAGACATGGCCATGTTGAGTGAGGTGCATCCTGGGAACTACGTATTTTATGGTCTGTGTTGCCATGTTCTCCTGTTTAATCATTATAAGCAGTGATGTTCTCAGTTTGTTTGGGATCATAATATTATCTGTTGCTCATCCAGACGTGCAGCAGTCTCTCATTGGGTCCTGTAGACTTAAGGATGTTGCAGTACGGGTACTGACGCGGGTCATAGGTCACTATCCGCACAGAAACCAGTTACTTTTAGACTGTGGGTGGACAGCACTGAGTCATGATGGTGGGGGGCGCTTACCCACCGGATACGCCATCATTGAAGGACACCCGGAACTCAAGTAAGAGATCATTATGTGGATTTATATGAGGACTGATTTTTTTCTTGGAATGTACAAATGGTACCATATCAGTTATTGGCAGATATTAGAGGGGGTGGGTTTGTGCTAATTTTCCATATTTTTCCCTATACTTTACTGTTCAAAGGGTTGGGGTCAGTAAGATTTTTTTGTGTACTTTTATTCTGATTGAATTGATCAAAAGTGACAGTAAAGACATTGATAATGTCACAAACAAATATATATATTTCAAATAACTTTCTATATATATATATATCAAAGAAAAAATGATCATGGTTTACACAATGTTAAGCAGTACAATATTAGAATGATTTCTGAAGGATCATGTGACACTGAAGACTGGAGTAATGATGCTGAAAATGTTGTTTTGTCATCACAGGAATAAATTACTTTTAAAATATATTAAAATAGCCAAACTGTTTTTTTTTTTAAATTGTAATAATATTTCACAATATAATTTGACTGCGCTTTGAGCAAATAAATGCAGCCTAAAAGACTTATAAACTTAAATGCAAAAGAAATCTTACAGACCCAAACATTTGATCATCTCACTCAGCACTTAAAGTTAATCTTTACAAACTATTACTACTGTAAGTCTGTCTAATTCGATCCAACGGCGGCATTCAAATTAGCGGTGAAGGTCACATGCGCGTTCCGTCTCTTCCAATGGCAAAGGGATTTTAATTAAATGCAATACATATTTATCTTATGTATTAACTCGTTTCATCTGACTCCATAAAATGAAAGTGTTTTTCAATGATATCTGTGCATCATTAAGTATACGTTAATGTTTGACTGTTTCTTTTAACTCCAATGAAAATAATATCAAAGTCTGTTAGAATAATCAAATATAACAATTTATTATGTCAGGTAAAAGTATTATGCCAATTTCATAATCAGTTCAAATATCATCAATACAAAACATCAAATGCTCTAGGATAAGAGAAATAGATGCAAACCCAACATTTAAGAACTACATGAGCTAAACCTCACGGGCTATCTGAAATACAGAAAAAGCCCCGAGCTCTCGCTGCATTTTCCTTATATAGCCAGATGTAAAGCTTGAATTTAGTGGAAATTTACTGTGTTCACCCCCCCCAGACTCACTGGGGGTAGAAGAACCATTTTGCTAAGAACAGTGGAAATTAGCATTTATGAATTTACACCTTTGGGAGTGCCTAGACCACATTCCTTTGTGTGCCAGTTATTCCTAAACTCTTAAAACCCTTATTTCCTTTTGTTTTACTTATTTGGAAATGAGACATATGTACCAGCCACCCTGAGACCTTTAAAATGATACTAAACACAATACTCAATGATAATCATTCACATTAAACCATACATTCTTATGTGAGTTTTTATGTGTCACTGCGAGAGTGGGGGATGTGGGGAAGAAGTGTGTGTGTGTGTGTGAGAGAGAGAGTTCAAATGTTAATTTGCCAAGGTCCTTTGTCTCAATAGACCATGTGGTCAGATATTTTCTCTTCAACAATTTTTACGGTCTTACACTACGAATTTACTAACATTGTTATCTTTGCAAATGTTAAGATAAATATAAATTTTTTCACACTGTATAATGTTGTGATGCCTAAATTGACTTGTTGCTAGTGCTGTCAAATCGATTAATCACATCTAAGTTTGTGTAAATATATAATATATATGTGTGTGTGTGTGTATATATAAATATATATGATATTTACTAACTTTTATGTTAGATCCGGTTAATCGTGATTAATCTATTTGACAGCTCTACTTGTAGCATTTTTAGTGTTTTAAGTTATATAGACAGTATAGAATTTTAATATAAACCATTTATCAGTTATCAACCATAACATAATTACCAACTTAATGTTATTGGCATGAATTTTAATCTTGGTGCATCCCTAGATTTTCCATTAAGCCACCTGTCTGCAGTGAATTAAATCCATTCTAAATATTAAAAACTAAGCAGTGACATTACATTACATAATCATTTTTTGTACACGTTTAGATGTTGTTGTTGTTTTTACTTCCCAACAGTGAGAGTAGGAGGTTTTGTGAGTCAGATGATATAAATAGCATGAAGGGTGTCGTCTGTTTTGCAGACTACTGTCTATGACTCAGGAACACGGCAGGGTGGAGCCCATCTCTGGAAAACTGGACTTCAAGCAGTTCCCGCTGGGATCACTCCTCACACTCATGCCTTACCATGTGAGTTACTAACCCTCTCACTGCAACAAAGCACACACAGAAACACACAGTTTTCAACTGTATGAAAGGACATTCTCCATTTGACTAAGCCATTTCTGGTGGTCTAGCATTTTTATCCATGTGTTGTGCATCAAAGTGACCCTGTTATGCTTTTTCAGATATTACCTATCATGCATATAGCTGTTTGTGAATGGAAAAGTTCTGCAAAGTTTCAAAGATCAAAGTGCACGATAAATGGAGTCATTGTCTCCTAAATGAAAGAACTGCCTGAAACGAGTCGTCAGTAATTCCAGTCTTACTTCTTGCACAAACCTATGTAGGTTTGTAACAAATTTGCATAAATCCCACCTGAGGTCTTCATTGGCTGCTTGTGAACAACGTCTACTTTGACCCGCCTTCAAACACTGTAGTTGTTGCTGAGGCCTCGAATAGTTTGGTTCGTGTTGTCAAGGTGTTATTTTCTGCACTACTTATTATTCTTAATATTACCACAAAATGCATAATCCCAATACTATGCAAAATTATTAACATGACCAGGGCAGAATAAGAAAATATGGCCAATAATTAACTGCACAAAAACATTGTTCTCAGCACAAACTTTGTTTTTTGAGAGCACGCATTTAACATAGCCTGAGGGCTTGTCATACCATCTATCAATGTTGGCAATTGCACTTACCATTGTTTTCATTCCTGCTCCTTAATGATAATTGAACATGGCACATCTGAATACAATGAATGATTGATTTCCTTTCAAATTAATAGCAGGTTGGTGAAAAGAAAACCTAATTACTTGTATGTTTTGTTGACAGGCTTGTGCTACAGCTATGATGCATCCGGTCTATTTTGTCCATTCTAATGGGAAGATTATAGACACATGGAAACCCATTCGAGGCTGGTAAACATATCTACCAGAGGCACTGTGGTACAGTTAGGGACTGTTAGAAATGTTTAGGACTTGTAGCAACTGTGAATTTGCTGTCAAAGGCAGGTGTCTATTAAAAACCCTTATTAAGAGATTTTTGTTCATAATAAGCCAAGTGCATTATGAGTTGGAAGCATGGCAGTTTTTTCATTGAGGAGCACTTGTTGTTGAAAATGTAAGATTCCATCAAAATAGCCTTTGTGTTAACTGGAAGTGTTAATTTGGTGTTAATTGGACAATTTATTCTTATTTGCTTCTTTAAATGCCTAAAAGACTACAATATTCTCTGTAGACTTATGAAAGACTGTGATTTCTTCTTTGTATCTGAATGAACTTGCATGCAGTATGTTTTATGGACTCAAAAAGAGTTTTGGGGAGATCTGAAATCTCTGAATTTCACTTTTTACAAAATGTTAACAACATGCACCTCAGTTTGTAATAAAATCCTCTACCACAGTGGTAAGTAATCAGATGCTCTAATTACCTTTTGTTTTTATGTTCCAAATTGAAGTATTCTTTTTAAAATACAATCAAGCAGTAGTGGGTAAGACGGTTAATAATAAAACAAGCTTTTTGTTAATGGATGTTCCTTCCACTTTGGACACTTTTGGCCCTGTGGACTTTAAGAGAATAATCTCTATTAAAACTTTTTCCAAAAGCACATATACAGCCAATAGAGGATAATTTTGTCAATTCTGTCTTTAAGTTTATAGATCCAATTAAAAAATATATTTGCATAGTTTGACAAAAAATACAGCTCTACATAGGTAATGTATTATGTATATTTTTATGATTACATTATGTAGAACAGTAAATCCTATTTTCATTTTTCATAGTTGTTTGGGGAAAGAGTTAAAATGTATGAATGAATGAAAAGTTTTTATTTCGAACATGTAGAAAAAAAAAACCAACAAAAAAACAACAAAAGAAAACAAAAATACAATCATACTAACAATTAATAACAAAAAACAATTAATAACAAAAAAAAAACAATTTTAACTTATACATGTCCGAAAAGGAGTAGGAAGAAGCATAAGCTTATTCAATCCTACCCCATCTCCACTACTTTTTACTAATTAATTAGCTAATTAACCGGTTGAACATTTTGATCTATTTGTCTCTACACACCAAAAAAAAAAAAAAAAACAACATACATATTTACCTATGTTTATATACATCTTCAATTAAAAATTACATAAGAAAATAAAGAGAAAATAATAATAAAAGAAAAAAAGAAAAAATATTAATAAACTATCACCTAACTAATAACCTTCATCCTCTCTATACCTTGCAAATATCATATTTTTACAATGCTTTTTAAACTGAGTCATACTTGGGCATTGTTTAAGTACTGAACTTAATTTGTTCCACAACTTCACTCCACATATCGAAACACAAAAACTTTTAATGTTGTGCGGACACATAATTGTTCAAAGTTGCTCTCACCCCTAATATTATATCTCCCTTCTCTATCTGGTATGTATAAAAGTAATTTGAAATGTTGATATAACCTTCATATATCAAAAAACAAAAAAGGGACATAAAACTGCCTGACATTGACAATATTCTATTAGTCTCATGATCTCGTGCACAGTTAGTCAGATCCTTATGGAAAATGCAGAGCAACAACAGCACCCAGACAGGCTTGCTGTCTTTGCATGACCCCCACACATTTTACCAAAAGAGAATTGCAAACATGAAAAGGAATTTAAATTACACCCAATAGTTTCTTTGATAGTAACTGGGAGTCCAGTCAAATGACACTTCCCTGAGTGCGTTTTTTCTAAACACGGTTTACCTATTCACCTGACCAATTGAGTCGCTCTGATCAAGACCACGACACGATTGGCCAATAATCGCGCAGTGCGATGAGCACCGATAAGCTCACAAATCACCGCACTGCACAGCCATTGGCCAGCCGCGGCGAGGGCTCGATCAGAGCGACTCAATTGGTCAGGTAAATAGCTGCAAGTTGGCAGGAAGAGCAGAGCTAGAGAGCGGAGATACATGATGATGTCAACACGGCAGTGAACCTTTCGGTCAGGCAAACGCAAGGCCTTTTTTTTAACCCATCGATTCCTTGATATTAACAGTAAAGGTCCGGTGGGATTGTACAAGTAATGTTCTGCTTGATCTCAGAGGTGGTCGTTGTGTCCGGTCTGTCCTTTAAGGCGCATTGCAGCTTTGCTCAAGGACTCTAGCGATCATCTGCAGCATCCGGAGGAGTCCAGATCCTACTGGTATGTAATTCACAACCATACCATTGATAAAACCTGTGTGTGGGGCATAGATGAGGCTATTTAAATACATTTGAACCACATACGTTGGAAGATGATACCGATTCTGTTATATTTATGTTTTAGGCCGAATGTTTGAATGTATTAAATGACATTTTTGGTCACTAAAAAGTTAACAACAACATGTGATGTGTGATTGTATAACTGATTATTTGTATAACCCGTTCAGACTTAAATTATGTTCCAAGGACACACAAATACGACAATGCTTGTTTCTCTCTAAATACAATAACAATATACAGTTTTTTAAATATTTATTTCAATATATTTAGCAGTTAACAGTGGGTCTGAGCCAGATGATTGTTTTAGATGACATTTAGATGATTGTACAAATGGATTTGATATAGGCTGTTTTGATAAAACTTTAATGAATTTTAGTGTTGTTTACTAAAATATTATTACTGTAAACACATGAATCACTGTTAGATTATTAAAAACTATATGGCAAACAAAGAAATGAATAATAAACACTTCAGGCTAAGCATTTACACTTATTGTACACTTAGTCCCATAGATTGACTTTTAGTGCTGTATTTTGAACCTGTAGGCTAATATTTAAAATGATGTAATAATTTTTTCAGCCTTGTGTCACTGGCTGCCATGCTTTTAATTTCAGAGGGCTATTATTATTTGTCTGTTGTTGTTGACAAAAACCAACAATCACTCATAAATTGATTTATCTGCATCCAATCTAATACTCTTGTGATTTGGCTGGCAAAAACCCCCCAAAAAACAACAACATTACAAACAGAGAGAGTGATGTCCAGTGGAATCCACTCTGGGTCTGAATTGGTTTTATGTTAATAATAAAAAGAACATCATTCTGCATAATATAATCTATTTTTATGTCTTTTAAAGACACATGCACCCTAAAGTATTAACACAATGGCTTGGCCTTCAGCTACATTTTAAAGCATTTTTCAATATGCCTTCTCTGGATACCTTTGCGCCACACACACATTGGCACTATTCCACCTGGCATAACATCAGTTTTAACTCTCATGCACAAAGTGAATTGATCAAATGCCAGTAGGGCACACCTATAAACTAGCAGTATGAAGTGTGCAATCTCAACCCCCCCCCCCCAAAAACACAGATGCACCAGTGTTGAGAGCAGGAAGCCGGCGTTCACTGAAAAACCACAGTCAAATGACACAGGAAGGATGGCGGCAATCACTGGGGCTTGATTTGCCACTGATGTAAACCTAGAGTAAATCTTTAATCAAAACAACTCGGGCCTTTTGTGCCCTAGACAAGGGGTTGTTTTCATCTCAGAGGAGCTGGATTGTGACCCTTGCCAAGGACTTGTATTCTGTGCAGCACAGAGATTTGCCCTGGTGAGATTAGACACCATCTGGCTAATTTGTCAGGATTGAGAGTGATGAGACGCATCTCGCACTGTCAGAACAAAAATAATGCTTATTGTGTTTAAACGCATGCATATGCTAGGAGTGCATATGTTCGTATATCTGTCCATATGTTTGTCCTCACTATGGGAACAGCGTGAGATATGCGTATCCTGGTGTTCAATGAGATTTTGAGTGTAGGTAAAATTGTGTGTCTGTGACAGTTTGGAGTGCGTTTTCAGTCGAGTGCGTTGAGAGTGTTGCACAACCTATTTAACAATGACCTTTCTGTTGTGTCCCGCTGCAGTCGACAGGCCGATCATAGTAAACTCTCTTGTTAATGCTCATTGAACGTGTACTACTTTGATCTCCGTTTAGTGAAATCACCTCTCATTTTCTCTCTTCCTCTCTCTTTGCATTAAGCTCTTTTCACAATGGCTATTTTAGGCCTGGCTGTGCGTACCTCTTCAGGGGACTGTATACACTTAATTATCTGGCGCTGAATCTTGTAAGCTTCTTACCCGTTGGCAAGGGTTGGAGAGAGCAGGCGCGCTAACCGTTGCGTCCACGCAGCAGAGGAATGTTTTGGTCAGGCAGATTGCCCCTGTCTTGAGGTAAGGTGTTAATACTGAAGGTCTACAGCTTCTGTGTAATAAGGGGAGTATTTCACTGCTATTTTGTTGCAGCCACGTTGCATTTTTCAAATATATTAGTCATGGTTGACTCAAAGTGTTTCGAAGCCTCAGGATAAACCTTCACTTTTGGAGAAATTGAATGGGTTGTTGACAACATGTCCATGAACTTTTGTTACAGCATCAAGATTGTAGGTTAAAATTCATGTTTAAGGAAAAAAAATTATGAATTTGATTTTATGAGGAAATTTATGAGTCCCAGCCCCTGCTAAACAAGCAAACACTTTCTATTTGTTTATTTTAGGTGAAGTAAAGCATGTTAAACCAGAGGACATTTCTGACATCCACTGCCCAAATTTAAAGAAAAACAATGTACAGTTGAAGAGGAATCTATTAACATTTGACTAAAATTGAGATTAAAAAATGCTGAAATACATGACCAAAACCACCAAGTTGCATTCGTTGACATGTAGCCAATTCTCACATGCATAACTGGGTCATTCTATAATTTAGGTTAAATTTCATGTCCATTGATGATAATATTTTTTTTAACAAGTTTCTTCAGAAATATGATTTCAAGTCAAATATTAGATTATATCAAATTATATCAAAATACAAATACCTTATAAAAGTAGAATAAATTTAATTTTCTTTCAAATAAGAAAATATTTTATTTTATTGATGTCTGCAAAAAATTGATGTTACTAACCAAATACCCCCTGAAAAAAGGTTTATCCCAAAACCATGTTACCTTACCAAGCATCATGTGATGTCATTATGTGGAAAAATTGTGAAATTTTCAGCTATGTTACTTGTGTCAACTGTTTTGACAGAATTTTTTACTTTATTTTTTACATTTTAAATGCCAGAACCTCTTGTAAATTATTTTATTTAGTTGTCTGTTCAGAATCGTGATCTCTATTTGAAAAAAAAATGAAAAAATTGTGATTCTCAATTTATCCATAATCACGCAGCTCTAATAAAAATGTTCTTGTCCTTCGTGACCCTGCAGATAATTTTACACAAATTTCTGCAAAAAAATACAATTCTTAGAAGTCTTTCAAAAATTGTCACTAACTTTTTTTTTTGTCTATCTGCCGTACAGTGTAGGACTTAATCAGTGTGTGTAGTCAGGGCCGCATTAAGAGCTCACTGGGCCCCGGGGCTATGAGTTACTGCAGGGCCCCCCCACCACCACTTTAGGTCACCAACTACATGAGCTAAATGTTCTATCATTATACGAGTCATTTTATTCATCTATGATATACTTCACAGTTAAGTTATATTACTTTTAATACGATTTTTTATCATATCAAAATTCTATGCCACTAAAATTTCATAATTCTTGAGACCAATTTCAATATCACAAAAAATAATAGCAGCTTAAGAAAAGAATCTCAAGCTTACTGATGACAAGAGTCACAAATAACAATAGAACAAAGGCACATAAGAAATCGACCAACTTGAAAAACTTAAAGCACTGAATAATATTATATTGTATAAAGTAATCAAATAAAATAATACATAGTTTTCACTATAAATTCAACATTCATTCTTATTAATTTTACAAAAGTGATTCAGTCAAGGGCAGTAAATTACTTTATTTCTGATGTTTGATTAACATCATTGACACAAATGGCGACAGCAGCTTTATTAGCAGCTTCTGTCACTTTAAGAACTCAGGGTCGGAACTCAAGTGCGCTGTGCAAAACCGTCTCAAGTTCACCATGGTCTCAAAACCAAGAGTTAAATAGAGTTTGATCAAACACAAAAAGCATCATACATCCATCAAGTTAATAATCAAACTTACGAAAATTTGTGGGGTCGATGATGACGCATGTGTTTTAAGAATAGTCTAGAATGAAGTGAAGAGTGGAGGCGATTATGGCAAGCCATTTTAGCATTTAACAGCTAGACTGGATATGTGTTGCAGATATCTGTAATTCAGTTTTGCCTAGTCAAAAAGAACATTTCAGATATCTGCAATTACATTCTTCCTATCCATAATTGTCATTTCAGATATCCACAAAGACATTCTTCCTAGGACAAATGACATCACTTTTGCCATTCATTTGTATGGGGTTTGTCATTACAGATATCTACGATTCAGTTGCAGATATCCACTATGTGAATTACGGATATCTGCAACTGAATTGTAGATATCTGTAATTCCAGTTTAAGATATCTACAATTTGATTATGACTAGTACTAACTCCAATTCAAGATATCTTTAATTCACCTCAATTCAAGATATCTACATGTTCCTTTTCAGATATCTTAAATTAAGTTTGGACTAGGCGAAAGTATGTTGTAGATATCTGTTACTGGAATTATAACTAGTCAAAATGGCATTGTAGATATCTCAAACTGGAGTTAGGGATAGTCATAATTTAATTGTAGATATCTATTATCAATTTATAGATATCTTAAAATGAATTTTGATTAGAGATATCTGAAATTTGAGATATCTGTAACTTTCATTCTGCCTATAGTCAAAATGTAATTACAGATATCTTGAATTAGAGTTTTGACTAGGCGAAATGACGTTGCAGATATCTGTATGCAAATTAGGCTCGGCCGCATCCCACTTTAGGCGGGAGCAGAGCGTGTTGTTGTTCAAATCATCAAATCACATAGCACCTGTTAACTGTTCACTTTTAATTAGCACCATGTCGAGGGTGAAGGAGTTTTTAATCGTCTTTTTAATGCTGTTAGCTCATCATAGATTTTTACTGTGGGAAAAAAAACTAATCTGAGAACTGTTTTTTCTCATCTAAGGAAGTTCAATCAATCAAATGTTATTGCACTTCCATGGCAAGAATTGCATGCATGTAAGCATCTTCATTAAAGTGAATTAGTGTGAATCTCTCTCAAGCATAAATCTTTCGTCAACAATAATCTACTAATTTTAAGCATGGTCATAAACAGAAATGCATGGCAAACATTGCATGTTGCCAATATTTTTGAGAGACCCCCAGGCTAATGCAAATGAATACAATTTGTGTGATGCTGGAAACATGTAAACATTTTCTGGTGTTTTTTTATTGTTTTTTTTTTTTTTTCGATTAAAGCCAATGCAGCTTCTTTCTTCTTCCAAATAAGGAAATTAACCCACTTCTTTTTTGATTATGGTGGGGAGGGGAAATTACATCATGCACAATAATTTGCACTAGTTATAATGACGTTTGAGATATCTTTAACTTTCATTCTGCCTAGGCAAAACTGAATTACAGATATCTGCAATTGTCATTTAAGATGTGTGACGAGTTGAATGTCGTTTTCAATGATGTCATTGCAGATATCTGTAATTCAGTTTTGCCTAGTCAAAACTGAATTACAGATATCTCTATCTGTCGTTTCGACTAGTCACAATTACGTTACAGATATCTTGAATGACAATTCCAACTATCCAAAATGTAATTACGACTAGTCAGAAAGAAGTTGTTGATATCTACAATGTTAATTCTGGATAGTCAAACTTAGCTTTTAAATGTTAAGAGGGCTTGCCATAGGGCGATTGATTGGTTGATGCGTATATTCTAATAAGGCGCATGCAGCCTACGTGCAGCAGCAGGTAGATCGTTCACAAGTTAAATATAGAATAAATGTATTTGTTAGCCTATATCAAATTAAAACGTGACGTTTCAATTTTATAGAATAAATGTATTTGTTATATCAAATTAAAACGTGACGTTTCAATTCACCATGCCCTGCTGCCCACGGGGGTTTGATTGACAGGCGACCTGGCCAATCATAACGCCGAATACGCAATTTTGTCCGACAATAAAGCTGTCAGGTGGACTTGAACTTGAAAACGGTATTGTTTAAATTACTTAAATGACAATGTTTGAAAGTTGAGACTTTGTTTCATATCAACAGTAAGCTGTTCTGAACTCTCTCTCGTAGTCACTCGGTGTAGTCTTTGCCCCGCGATGTATTTTTCACTGCGTGAGTGAGAACATGATCATGTGCGTGACTCGTGAGAGCCGCCTGGCTTGTCACACAGTAACTAAAAAAGGCGGGTCTTTGCAAACGGTCACTATAATATTAATGATAATGATTCCATGATAATGAATGGAATATTCGGCAAAGCGCCACTAAATAACAGGGCTAATTTGTGGGGGGCGTTGCGTGGCAAGGCTTTGGCAATCAGATGGCTAGTATCTACTCCACAGCCAATCACGGGCCCCCTCCTTGCTCGGGCCCCGGGGCTTTAGCCCCGCCTAGCCCTATTGTTAATGCGGCCGTGTGTGTAGTGGCATACAAATAGTTGTTTTATTAAGAAAGCATATTGTTTTTACACTTTTGCTAATGTCTCAACCTATATGAATTTATATATTTCTTATGTTAGTTGCAACATTCAGTGATGAACGGTGCCTGTACAAAGCTTTAAATGAAGCGAAAAATAGAGTACAACAATAGTGGTACAGTAATGCAGTTAGCCCTGCTTCCTCTAGGCTATCTTAGGTCATGTCTTCACAGCACAAGTAGGATTTTGTTTAGCGTGTAAAGCATCTGTTCTATTCACCTCCGATTCCCTCCCAAACCACCAGCACAGCACTGCTTTCTAATCAGAGCAGAGCACACTCCCCCTCACCGTCACACTGCCATATGCAGAGCCTGCCATTTTAAGAGCTGCACACAAACATGCATAAACACAGACGTCCTGTATTAGGCCTGCATGGGGCAACACCTGCGTGTGTTTGCACTATTAAGCTCTCAGTTTGGAACATGAGCCCACAGTTGTCGTAGTAACTGTGATGCTCTGTGTGTTGGGCAGGTGTGTGAGCTTTAATGGAGATTTTGAGCGGGATGTGTGCGTCTTCTTTTTATCTGCCGGCTGTTTGACCAGAGATCAAGAGGCATGGAGAATCTGAGCCACATCTCTCCTTGTCTACACTTGTGAGCTGGGTTTGAGTCAGGTGAGCCACAATGAACACTAAAATGGTTTTGTGGAGTAAATGAAAGTACTGGCGAATTTGCAGATTTTAAGACTATGGTAATACAATAACACAAATGAAAAAATGGGAATTATGGAATGATCAAATGATGTTGAGCAAATCAAACCATCTTATATTTCCAGGGTTTCTTTGAAGAAACTCAACCTTGCTTAAAAAAAACACTCTTAAATCAGATGGTTTTCTGGTCTTAGATGGTAAACGCTGGTCTACCAGCCAAGCCAGATGGTCTCCTAGCCCAACTAGCTAAAAAGTAGAGATGAAACGGAATGAAAAATTCATGTCACGATTAAAGTGACCAAAATGATCAGTTATCAATATTATCACGGTATCGTTAAAATGAGCTGGAAATGTTCAAAAAGTACTGAAACACACACTTAATTAATTTCACCAAGTTTTGTCGAAAACCAACAAATAAAATTAGCAGCACTATGCATTTTTTTGCATAAACATTTAAATAATAACATTAGCATTGACGTCCAGATTTTAAATGAACAAAAAAGTTGAAACCTCACATTCAGAATTTTATCCATTCAAACTCATCTTTGATCACCAAAAAGGAATACTTAAATGTTTCTCCTGTGAAACTTTTTATTAATGCCATCTTGTTACTAAACCCTTGCTTAATTTAGTATACGTGGATCCATGAATATGCAAATGAGCCCCGCCTCCACTCACTCATACACGGTCGTTCACAAGTCAATGTATCAGAATGGTAATGCGTTTTATGTATCGCTCTCTACAACGTCAGACACATAACGGTAATTAATATAATTAGCTTTTGGCTTGACTGTTATCAAACAGCTTCTAATGTGTTGCTAATGTTACACAAACCATGTTCCCGTTCGCCGTCTCAGAGTCAGACAGCTGCCTTCTAAAAATCAGTATCTTTAAAAACGCTTTGAACAACTTAGAACGTCATTGGAGAAAGGCATATAGTTCATCATAACATTGTAATATAGATCATATGCACAATTCACCCGTTATATAGCTATTTTATAGCAACAGAAAAATATATCAGGATAACCTGGCTACTCTTGAGATTCCCCAGCTTCGCAGCTGAGTAATGATGATATGCTAAAGCCCGCCGTCATGTTGACGTGATTGGTTACAAGGTAGTTTGTGACGTCAGAAACACTGGCGATTTCAAACCGCGTTTTTTAAACTGTCTCTTTTTTCACTGCAGTTTTAAGGAGAAAATACTCTGCAATGGTGTTGACTTATGAATTTGCACATGGTTTAAATTTGTAGAATGCACATTAGCTTATTTTCCATTAACCTGTTGAGCAGCATACAGGTTGAATGAAAATGTAACTCTCTGAAAATCCACTCTCTGCCAGTAGGTGGCACTTATGGAACAGCAGAAATAGAGCTGTTTCTCTGGTAACCTCTGTAAACAAAGCAGCGCTGCGAACACGGAGGTAAGAAGAAAACTTTTCCGAAGACCGCCAGTTTCCTTCAGAAATGCATTCATATAATTAATAAATTCCTACATTCATTTATCTTCAGCACTCTTGTAAAACCTCACAGCTTTCCGCCATGTTTTCACACCAAACGAAATACTGCGCCTGCGTGAGACTGTTGCTTATCTTCGCTTAATGCTGGACAGTATTGTTTTACCTTGAGTTTTTCAATTCGTGGTAATTAAAGGTACAATATGTAAGAATTTATCAAAATATCCAAAAACCACTTGCACAGTGTTAGCCTATATATTTCTTTCAATTGTGTACTTATATTATCCTAAATGTTTCCAAGAATTTGTAAATTCAGAGAAATTCATAATTTTAAAAAGTGCCCGTCCCTGTTCACTTGTCGCCTGTCAATGACATAATATCCGCGTTATCCCTGGTTTCCGCTTGTACTGCCATAGTAACCATGGTGACAGATGTGGACTGGACAACTGCGTAGCGTGTAACGTCTAGCGGCACACTGTTGTTGTTTCGTTCAAACATTATGGACCATGGCAAGCAGACTTTGGGACAAAAGGAGAACTAAAACGAGGATCAATATCAGTGTGGCGTTTTCGAGATGCCGAGAGCTTCACGTCTGCAACAAACTTCGACTTGACAGGGACGCTGCTCTTGCATGTTCTTTATTAGACAGCTGAGCAAATGCACATAAAACGAATCAATGTTATATAGCTCAACAGGAGGAAATGTTAGAATATGATCAGTATGCTATTCTAATGTTAATCTAGCTTACTGCTAGTCTCATACAGCCAACAAACTAACACATAGAATAACATTATAACTTTCAACATACTCAAATGCAGTTTAGTATGATAGTGTAGACCAAGTGAAACAACGCTGCGTTACCTCACAAGTTTAATTGAGCAAATAAACTGACCTGTGTGAGTAGTAATTCAGCACTTGCGGGTACGTTAGTTCGGTAGAATAAAATGTTCTCATTCCTTTAAATCCGCGGGACTCGCTTATGGCGCTGAAATCTGTCTATCATTAGCAATCACGCCCTGCTTCATACCACAGTCATGTTAAAAAACAAGTCCCATCATTCCGCTTATCACTGTGTCATCAACCTACGCCTTTGTTATTGTAAGAGGTTAGCGACCCCTAGCGGCGAAAAAAAATTACATATTGTTTTTTACTGATAATTAATTTATGAAACGGTAATATTGACTGTCGGCTAATACTATCATCAAGTCAGTAACTGTTTCATCCCTACTAAAAAGTGACCAAACCCCACGAAAACCAGGCGACTGACCAGCGTAACCAAGAAGGGAGACCAACTAAGACCAGCAAACCAGAAAAAAAAAATTCATTTGTACACTAGCTTCCAAAAGTTTGAAGTTGGTTAGAGATTCTCATGCTCACAAAGGCAGCATTTATTTGATAAAAAATACAGTATTGTCAAATAGTACAATTTAAAATTTGTCTATTTTGATATTATGTATAATGTAATTTATTCCTGTGATGGCAAAGCTGAAGCAGCCATTACTCCAGTATTCAGTGTCAAATGATCCTTCAGAAATAATTCTAAAACACATGTCTTCTTATTATCAAAGTTGAGAACAGTTGTGCTGCTTTATGTTTTTGTGGAAATCGTGATCATTTTTTTTCAGGATTCTTTGGTAAATAGTTAATTCAAAATAACAGCATTTATTTGAAATGGGACCTTTTATCCTTGCTTAATAAAAGTATTAATTTCTTTTAAAAAAAATAATGTTACTGACCCTAAACTTTTGAAAGGTAGTGTAGATATACTTTATATTTGTCTAAAAAAAAACTAATCGATGGTATTTAAACATAAATTTGACCTCAACCCCAACCATGAAACTGTTTTGCATTACTTAATGGAATAATGCAAAATATATTCATGGTCGATGAGAAAAAGAAATTGCCTGGCAAATTCTCTGATTTCAGTGACATTGACAGGTGTGGCAAATTAAATTTTGGGCCATGATTTTGCTTCAAGTGTGGTACTAATATGCATTTTCTTTACATGTATTCTTACTTTTTTCATATTTCCCTTATTTTCTCTGTCAGGAGGACCATGCTCAGCTCACAGCGTGTGGTGGAGGAATGGCTCTCTGAGTTCAAGGTGAGAAGTTTGACATCTTCCCAGGCTTTAATATGGTGTTTTTTATATAGCTCAGTCAAATTAAGTCCTCCCTTCCCAAGTGATCCGAGCGCAATGTCCCATTAACCACATTTGGAATCTCAGAACATAATGGAGGGATATTTCAGCCTAAAGTTAATTAAACTCCAGGCCGATTCAGGCTGCTTAGTCATGCCAAGCACCGTTTCTCCTCTTTAGACCTTACCTGAAGAGCAAATCCGCAGCTATTCTGGCAGTCTGCGTCTGAAGAAAGCTCTGGTACCTGCTCTCTATGCTGTTATTCAGGAGCAGCCCTGCAGTGAGGTACAATCATGAAGTGTTTGAAATGATTTCTGTTTTATTAAAAATGTTATGGTTATTTTCTTGTGTTGGGTGATGAGTTTTAATTTTGTATTGTCTTTAATATCTTGATCTGTTTTTTCATCCTTGTGTAAATTAATTCATGTCGCAAAGGAGTGTTCCCCTCAGTGCGTGTGTCCATCCCATACTGTCTCTAACACTTTAAATCACTTTCTTTTTTTTCTTCCTTGCTCTCTAGCTGCTGGCTCCGGTGTGTCATCAGTTGTTTGAGTTGTACCGGCACTCAGAGGAAGGTTTGCGTCAGTTTACCCTGCAGTTCCTTCCTGAACTCATCTGGGTGTACTTGCGTCATTCAGCCAGCAGAGAGCGTTACCGCAATGGCTGCGTGGAAGCCCTGCTACTGGGGATCTATAACCTGGTGAGAGATTGCTTAATGTGCTAGCATTACTTGTCATTTCCTGAAATTCAATATCTAAAGATGACATATGGTATGTGTACATCATCTGTTACAGGAAATTGTGGACAGTAAAGGAAATTCCAAGCTGCTGTCATTCACCATACCAACTCTCTCTAAGCCTTCAATATACCATGAGGTATGAAGTAAAATACAAACTATGGTCTGGGTCAAATTGACCCTAATTGATTTCAATACAATTCACCAAAAATCATATGAAATTTTTAACATTTACTCACACATTAACAAAAAAGGAGAAAATATGTATATTATATAACAGTATTACAACAAATTTTTTTTTTTTTTAAACTGTCTGCTCTGTGCTTTTCTTAAGCTCAAACAGTAGAGTATGGCGCTAACAATGGCAAAATCATGGGTTCGATCCCATAGAACTGAACATGCATGAACTGGTGAAAATGTGTGCCTTCGATGCAGCGAAATTATTTTGCATAAAAGTAGAGATGCACGGGTCAACCGGGCATAAATTGGAACCGGAAATGGGTCGATTGGACCCGCAACATAATATAAGAGCTAGTTTAATAGTTAAATAATAATACCTTAGCTTAGCTCTTTTAAGATGGTCCCCCACCCTTGTCAAGCTGGTATCTATCTGGATTAGCTGTGAGGCCAGTTCGTTCATCTGAAAAGTGCCCAAACCTCCTCTAAAACTAGTCAATAGACCAGGCAAACCAGTTTAGACTGGTTAAGATGTTTTTTCAGCAGGATACACTCCATCTGACACTTGTTTACATGCTCTGCCAATGAAAATAAGTCCAATTCCACAAGTCATATTATCTAGAATGCTTCCATTGAACTTAAGGCTGTAAAAAACTTTTTTAATTTGTAGGGCTTAAACGAATGACTAATTAAAGTTGGATACTTTTATGTTTAATGCAGCCATCCAGCCTGGGGTCCATGGCGTTAACCGAGGGAGCCCTGAACCAGCACGACCTCATCCGGGTGGTGTACAGCGGCCTGCTGTCTCAGAGAGAGACGTTCACCTCACAGAACAGGTGCTTTTTTTCTTGTCAGACTGGGGTTTTGTACTTATTCCTCCTTGTGGAGGAAGTAGGTTTGATGTGTGGAATATTCCTGGGCTTCTGATTAATTGCGCTATCGCCCGCTGGACTGTTTTATTGCCATGACTCAGCTGTTACTTTTTCCTGCTGGCTGTAATGGTATCTCAGCATTTTATTTCATTAAACCACTGCTGGAGCATTGACAGCGAGATCTGTGCATATGTAGTGTGATTTGTTATTACCCATTCCACTGGCTAGATACACAGCGACAGTCACTGACTCATAATGTACCGCTGTCTGATTTGTCGATGTAAAATTATGCAGATGTCAGAGGGGGTTATGTGTGTGTGTTTGTGTCTCTTGCAGGTTTGAGGTGCTGTCTTTTCTAATGCTCTGCTACAACTCAGCCGTGGTCTTTATGCCTGCGTCCTCCCATCAATCGGCTTGCAGAATGAGCACGCGGTAAGGGGGGCGCATGAGTTCCTTTTTCTGCTAACGATCCGGGAACATCTCGGCCTGTCTGTCTCTCTCTCTCTCTCTCTGAAATGTCTTGCTGGAACAAGCAGAGATGGAATGATTAAATGGATTAAAGGGAATATTGATTTTGAGAGAGAGAGCAAAGGATTTCTGTGGTGGGTCATAGCATTAGCATAAAGACCTCCGAATAAACATGTCATTAGAAATTCTCTATTCTCTCTCTTTATGCAGGCTGTGTGTGAGCGGTTACCCGCGGCAGCAGCAAAAGCCGTGGAAGGAGCCGTATTACCGTATGCGATTGGAGCCGGAGTTTATGGTGCAGATGCTGACTGCTGTTTACCATGCCATGTAAGTTTTCTGAGCTGCGTCTCCATTATCCACCTTATTTTTCATTATCATTATTTTTCACCTTAATTATTAATAACCGACATTTTACAGAAATAGCATTTACAGAATAACATTAAAGAGTTAAAATATTAGTAATTTTAGCCTCACACTCATAGTTTTGATTAGAATACATCACATCCAGTCGGCCGGTCGCATACGGTCTAGCCGCAGAAGTTCAGAGATTTCAACGGATCCAAAGCTTAAATCGGATCCGAATTTTCCGCATACGCATATGATCGGAACTCCCCTCAGCTCCCGTACGACTCTCCATTGGAAATGAATGACTTCCGGTCCAACGGCTGTCGTTTGTCGTGTGCAGTGGAAAGGCGGCTTTAGGGTTTGCCATAATAGCTGGTTCAAGCGTAAAAAAATACCTGCAAGATTAAGTTGTGACCATAATTCGCACCAGAACTGAATGTGGATGTGGGGCACCTTATTATCTGCGCTGCAAGAAATGCGTCGGCTTTGGTTAAAAGCATCATTGTAATGTGTGAACACGCTGACAATGCAAGTTGCTTGTTATTTTTATGTTTTAGTCAAATAGTTAACTGTGTATCTGTCGCATTAACCATTCAATCACCATTTTGAGTTCTTTGCACGGCACGCACATGCTTAAAATGTGACACGATGCAGTACATGAGAAATGGTACACGTTAAATGACGTTATTAGGGTTCAAAAGGCAGCAGTAGTTTATGTATTTCTCTTGTGTGTATTTGAGCGACACATTTTTGAGAAACCGCCAAAATTCCCATACGTTTGCTCTTTCTACTTCGTTAATGGCAGACCAACGGAAGAGCATCCCTTTAATATTTGGCCAGTTCTTTACGATAGCAATGTTACAGTCACTGTAATTTCTTGAATAATAACATGTGGACATCAAAACACACAAACTCGTGAGGGTTTAAAAACTTTTATTTTGAAGTCGTGATAAATGAACAGTTTGCATATATAGAAGCATATTGATGTATTCTCCTGTGTGGCGTAGGTTTATAGATTATTTACGTTACAAATCTGGTGAAATGTACATTGCGTTCCCATATGAACGTCATAAGCAACCCTAACTCACAGCATATACAGATATGGCATTTGTTAAACGAGCTGCTGAGACACGCATATAAGACCGTCTACTCCGAGTCACAACACAAAATAATTGAAAATGTTCTCATAAGATGTCAGGCCACTTCTTCATTTCATCCCTCCACCGCGGGTGTGATAAATATTAACCATCACGGTGTTTAATAGTGTTTTGTGCGTGCTCCCATAACATGGCTTCTTACCAGCTAGCGAAACGGAAGTCTAACACATTAAAAGGAAGTACGTCATCGTATTTACTTCCGCGTTGCAAAATAAGGTGGATAGCACAAGTAGTTAATTGTTTTTTGTTCCATGCTGCTATTCTTCTCTAATAAGAGGGTTATTTGATATAGATGTTGCAGACTGATCTCATGAAATGGCATATGTATGACACGCCAATTCGTATTTTCATTTTTGGCGTGCTATCAACACGCATAATCGCTTTTCAGCGTGTTTATCAACGCCTTTGACTTAACATTATATTACTGTATTATGTATATATAAATATATGACCTACCCCAACCCCGTCCCTAAACCTACCCGTCACTGGGGTTAATACCATTTATGAGTCTTCTCCTACCATCCTAGGAAAAGAAATATCGCTCCACAGATGTAGATATAGATTTTGCTTCGTTTCGCTCGGACATTTAACGGCGTACACATACACGCGGAATCACTCGGACATTTAATGGCGTAGACATACACGCAAAAGATTTCGGCGTGGACATACACGCGGATAGCTCAAAATGCGTATAGATAACACGCCACTTGAATTGAAAGTGGCGTGTATGTTTACGCAAAGTCATGATGTCATGTTGGATGTTGCATAATTTCTGCTGAATGCTGAAAAATGCACTGTTTTACTGTGTTTTGATCAAATAAAGGCTGCCTTGGTGAGCATAAGAGACCTCTTTCAAAAACATTTAAAAGTCTTATCGACCCCAAACTATTAAATGGTTGTGTATTTCTGAGCAGCGCTCAGATCTATTTTCTTTTTGCATTAGTAAGAGAAGGAATGTATTATATATTTAATTCCTGTTAATTCTCAATTAACGGTTTGAGTGGTGTGCTAATGATCTCATCTGCATAATGATACTCTCTCATATCAACTCCAGTTATAATGGGCAGTGGGATCTGGGGAGGGAAGCTTTGGATGACATCCTCTACCGAGCACAGCTAGACCTCCATGCCCAGCCATTACTGGTAAGTCATCCGCTGTCTGCACACCATTGTATGATGTGAAATGCTCTTGTTACAGTACACTTACGGAAATATAAAGTGGGGTCTGAAAGTCTGAGACGTCTGATATTTTTTTTGTCAGTAATCAAATTAGCAAATTTCCAATCAAATTCAAACCAATTTCAAATCTCATGAACAGATGTTTTTGCTTCCATTAATCCACAAAATGCTCTTGTATCATTCTAAATTTATGCAAGAACATCATCATCATCAGAGCTGTGTTCGACTTCGAAATCGCCCCCTATACCCTCATTCACTATTCCCTATGTTACTCCACTAATATAGTCCACTTAAAGGAGTGAATGAAAGCGAATTCGAAAGGGCTGGCGCTTTTGCGAAATTTGTGCTTGCTTTTTAATTCTAGCAGTAATGAAAATATTTATCTTGAACTCTGTCATGGAACTAACTAGCATGTTTAAACCTTAATTAAACAATTTAATATTTTATAATTAAATTATAAAATATGGTACGTGAAATGTGGGTACGTGAAATGTGGGTACTGCGTAATATTGTATGATATTACGCAGTACCCACATTGGACTAGCCATTTGTAAATTGGATGGATGGATGATTCAGCTGTGAATTATGGGTTTTCTCTAGCCATTGAGTGTACATCAGTTGTACACTCGTTTTTGCGATGCATTATGGGATTGAATGAGTGCGCTTGATAATGTCCACTATGGTTTCGGACACCACTACAAATGACTGTCCCTTTAAATAGTGATGTAAAGGGTATAGGGGGTGATTTCGGACACAGCCTAGGTTTTACCCAAACTTGTGGAGTACAGCTCAAAGCGCTGCTGCCATTTGAAGCAAAATGAGCAAAAACAACAAATATGTCAAGTAATTAAATTATTAAAATTCATGACAATTTTTTAATTTAACTTGTTCTCTAATTGTTACCCTGAAAATATACTGTACTGTACTAGTGAAGTTGGAGTTGTGGTTTTTGCCACAAGAAAATGTCTTTCAAGAGCAACATTTAAATCGTAATTGTTAATGGAAATGTAATATTTCACTGCATTACGTTGACCCCTGATCCTCAGGTGGCAAATGCAATTAGTCGCTCACTTCCGTCCCGTCCTCCGGAGGGCTCGCGGAACCTTCTGGAGGTGGAAGTAACGCATACCGGGAGATGCATCTCACAGGCAGCTGTCACTGCCGCCTCCATTCGTCGGCTCCGCTGGAAACGAGAGGGTACGTGAAATATACACACATACCAATCTTTTTATTTTGATGGCTTTCTGCTTATTTATTTCCTTCATGATCATTAAAATCATAATGAGAATATTAACATGACATCCTCATCAGTCCCTTCATTGCATCCATTCAAGCTTCAGGAAATGGAGGCCATTTTTGTGTGTGAAATTTTCCCTCTGTCAGCATCATGTTTAGTTCGCTCACTGTCTTCATCTCAGATTGTTTTGATTTCACAACCATGGCTGAATTCTACGCCTCCATCATCCCCAGCCGATACACCCCCCCGGAGAGACCAGACAATCCTGTGGCATGCGGGCGGATAAAGTGCACCATTCACCTAACCTTGCAAGGTGGTAGGCAGGGCTCAGGAACATCTCACCATTACACGGTGTCACAGTGTTAGACAGTCCTTACACAAGCCCTGCCCTTGTTCACCATAGAAAGTGTTCATTATCATTAATATTTTCCATTATTATTATCAATATTAAAGTGACCCCATTGCATGGAAACTTCCTCCTGTCTGTTACTAGTGTCTCCACATACCTTGTGATCATTTGTGTTTAATCCTCTCATTTGTGATCAATTTCGTTTTAAGAGCCCTTTACAGTGCTTGCAAGGCAAGATGATCTTCTCTACACATTTCTGAAATTCATTTAGCTTGAGTTACTTAATGAACAGATTCATTCAAACATTGTTTGTGGACAATTTTGTAGTGCACTACACTGTCATCTTAAATTTCTTAAAAGGAAATTCCCCTGAGATTTATATTGATAAAATGTTATGCTTTCAAAATAGTAATAATATTTGCATACTGAATTGTGAGTGGCCTTCTTTTGGTGCATTCAAATCATGTTGGAATGATCGTACAGTGTTTCAAAATTGAGTACCACCACCTTGTCATAATTAATTACCAGTTAAATTTTTTAAATAAGTTGAAAGTTTTTCTGGGTTCTTTGATGAATAGAAAAAAAACAGCATTTATTTGAAATATAAATCATTTGTAATGTTATAAAAATCTTTACTGTTACTTTTGATCAATTTAATACATCCTTATTGAATAAGACTTAATTTCTTAGAACTTAAAGTTTTGAACGGTAGTGAAATTACGCATTGAATTGTGATTCTTGAATCATCTCATCAGAGTTCAACAACATTTTCCTCTGTGCTTGAGTTTCCCACATTCACATGTAGCAAATTAGCTCAAAAGATATATATATATATATACACTCACCGGCCACTTTATTAGGTACCCCATGCTAGTAACGGGTTGGACCCCCTTTTGCCTTCAGAACTGCCTCAATTCTTCGTGGCATAGATTCAACAAGGTGCTGGAAGCATTCCTCAGGGAGTTTGGTCCATATTGACATGATGGCATCACACAGTTGCCGCAGATTTGTCGGCTGCACATCCATGATGCGAATCTCCCGTTCCACCACATCCCAAAGATGCTCTATTGGGTTGAGATCTGGTGACTGTGGAGGCCATTTTAGTACAGTGAACTCATTGTCATGTTCAAGAAACCAATTTGAAATGATTAGAGCTTTGTGACATGGTGGAAGTAGCCATCAGAGGATGGGTACATGGTGGCCATAAAGGGATGGACATGGTCAGAAACAATGCTCAGGTAGGCCGTGGCATTTAAACGATGCCCAATTGGCACTAAGGGGCCTAAAGTGTGCCAGGAAAACACCCCCCACACCATTACACCACCACCACCAGCCTGCACAGTGGTAACAAGGCATGATGGTTCCATGTTCTCATTCTGTTTACGCCAAATTCTGACTCTAACATCTGAATGTCTCAACAGAAATCGAGACTCATCAGACCAGGCAACATTTTTCCAGTCTTCAACTGTTCAATTTTGGTGAGCTCTTGCAAATTGTAGCCTCTTTTTCCTATTTGTAGTGGAGATGAGTGGTACCCGGTGGAGTCTTCTGCTGTTGTAGCCCATCCGCCTCAAGGTTGTGCGTGTTGTGGCTTCACAAATGCTTTGCTGCATACCTCGGTTGTAACGAGTGGTTATTTCAGTCACTGTTGCCCTTCTATCAGCTCGAACCAGTCTGGCCATTCTCCTCTGACCTCTGGCATCAACAAGGCATTTCCGCCCACAGAACTGCCGCTCACTGGATGTTTTTTCTTTTTCGGACCATTCTCTGTAAACCCTAGAGATGGTTGTGCGTGAAAATCCCAGTAGATTAGCAGTTTCTGAAATACTCAGACCAGCCCTTCTGGCACCAACAATCATGCCACGTTCAAAGTCACTCAAATCACCTTTCTTCCCCATACTGATGCTCGGTTTGAACTGCAGGAGATTGTCTTGACCATGTCTACATGCCTAAATGCACTGAGTTGCCGCCATGTGATTGGCTGCTTAGAAATTAAGTGTTAACGAGCAGTTGGACAGGTGTACCTAATAAAGTGGCCGGTGAGTGTATATACACACTCACCTAACGGATTATTAGGAACACCATACTAATACTGTGTTTGACCCCCTTTCGCCTTCAGAACTGCCTTAATTCTACGTGGCATTGATTCAACAAGGTGCTGAAAGCATTCTTTAGAAATGTTGGCCTATATTGATAGGATAGCATCTTGCAGTTGATGGAGATTTGTGGGATGCACATCCAGGGCACAAAGCTCCCGTTCCACCACATCCCAAAGATGTTCTATTGGGTTGAGATCTGGTGACTGTGGGGGCCATTTTAGTACAGTGAACTCATTGTCATGTTCAAGAAACCAATTTGAAATTATTCGAGCTTTGTGACATGATGCATTATCCTGCTGGAAGTAGCCATCAGAGGATGGGTACATGGTGGTCATAAAGGGATGGACATGGTCAGAAACAATGCTCAGGTAGGCCGTGGCATTTAAACGATGCAATTGGCACTAAGGGGCCTAAAGTGTGCCAGGAAAACATCCCCCTCACCATTACACCACCACCACCAGCCTGCACAGTGGTAACAAGGGATGATGGATCCATGTTCTCATTCTGTTTACGCCAAATTCTGACTCTACCATCTGAATGTCTCAACAGAAATCGAGACTCATCAGACCAGGCAACATTTTTCCAGTCTTCAACTGTCCAATTTTGGTGAGCTCTTGCAAATTGTAGCCTCTTTTTCCTATTTGTAGTGGAGATGAGTGGTACCCGGTTGTGTCTTCTGCTGTTGTAGCCCATCCGCCTCAAGGTTGTGCGTGTTGTGGCTTCACAAATGCTTTGCTGCATACCTCGGTTGTAACGAGTGGTTATTTCAGTCAAAGTTGCTCTTCTATCAGCTTGAATCAGTCGGCCCATTCTCCTCTGACCTCTAGCATCAACAAGGCATTTTCGCCCACAGGACTGCCGCATACTGGATGTTTTTCCCTTCTCACACCATTCTTTGTAAACCCTAGAAATGGTTGTGCGTGAAAATCCCAGTAACTGAGCAGATTGTGATATACTCAGACCGACCCGTCTGGCACCAACAACCATGCCACGCTCAAAATTGCTTAAATCCCCTTTCTTTCCCATTCTGACATTCAGTTTGGAGTTCAGGAGATTGTCTTGACCAGGACCACACCCCTAAATGCATTAAAGCAACTGCCATGTGATTGGTTGATTAGATAATTGCATTAATGAGAAATTGAAAAGGTGTTCCTAATAATCCTTTAGGTGAGTGTATATATACATAATTAATCATAACAAATTATTAATTAATTATAAATATTTGAATTAATTATAGAATTGACTAGCAGAATTAATAGTACAATTATTTAATCAGTTCATCCAATGAACGGAAAGCATAATCAATTACCAATTCTAGGAAATAAATTATCTTCCCGGCCAAGAAAGAGTAACCTTTTCCAACTAAAGTACTAGCAAGGTAATAGCATAGGTATCGCTAGATCAAGATGTTTAAGTGACTTTGATCTTTTTGTGAGTGGCAAACACAGAGACAATAAAACGTGGATATAATGGTCTAATAAACAAAACTATGGTAGGCTACACAGAAAGAGAGAGAGAGAAGAAAAGAGAATGGCAAGATTACGATCAGTTAACCACAACCTACAAGAAACATCAGAGAATCAGGGTCACAATAACTTAGAAACGCATCTAAAGACTGCGAACGGGTACTTGCATTGACTTCGGTTGCTGAACAAGTCCAGATGCAGGAGATTCTTGATGATTTTGCCAGGAGTGCGCTGAAGCGTTCGTTTGGGTTCTTGGGGTGGTCCACGTTGAAGCCAAAGAAATTGACTTGAAGGTGAAGTTGCCGCAAGGAGACAGGAAGATGTTGTCTCAAAGAGATTGAGCAAAGATCTGAACTAATCGGACACTCTTAAAGGTCCTATCACTTCACACCCATTTGGTGAGGTGACCAATCAAAGATGACCGGGAGAAAGTCTTTGTTCCATCTTATCCCCATTTGCATGTTCATGGTGGCATGGAGAATTTGTGCAGTCTTTACACAAAAGTATAGTAAAAATATTATGATGCAATTTATCATAACATATTGTACACCATTGATTTAAAAAAACAAAAAACAAAATAGGATTCTTTTGATTCCCAAGAAAGAGGGGATTTGAAAACTTTAAAGCAGTGATACATCATCTTTGGATTTCAACATTTGAAGTCACTCTAACATAACTAAAGAATCATTACTAGGTTAATAAAACATAGGGACATATATAAAACACAGGAGAAATACTAGAAACATTTGGGAAAGTTTGTGGGTAATTCAATGTCCTTGTGTGTTGGAAGTTTATCTCTATAGTCTTTGACCAAATGGGTAGTGCCGTCTGGTCTCCTATGCTGTCTTTGAGGGTTGCAGACACAGTCTCTTGCTGAGATCCTTCAGGGGAGCTGAGGTGATAGCGGTCTTTGAAGAGAACTGGTTTGAGGGCCGATGACAACAGGGGAGAGGGGGAAGGTTTTATGATGTCTAGAGCATTTTGATTAAGTCCATTCGTTAAACATTGGTATGAATATAAGTGAATGGAGCGAATGAAGACTGGTGTAATTGGAGCTTGACACTTCAAAGACGGTGCCATGTTGTTTTCTACTGGCTGTGAGCCTGTGTAGGAGAATTAACACAAGATGCGTGCTGAGTGTCAGATGCAGCATTTCACGGAGACCGATCCAAAAGCCAGAGCTTACCTCTAAGCTCACCTAACCCTATTCTTTTGCTGCCTTGCAAGCGCTAGTATTTCCTCCAAGATATTCAAAATCCAACATTCTGTTTTCTCTGCCTCATTTTCCCCTCGCTGTGTATTAGATGCCGACGGTGTGAGCTGTGGAGAGGACTCTTTTGACCCAGATGAAGGATTTTCCTCTGGGGCTTCCAGCAGCAGCCAGCCCAGCAGCGTGAAACGTGACTGGGTCATAACTGGCGTTCGACCTTCCCGAGATCCGGGAGCCAGGCTGAGGGAGAGCGCGTCGGCCGACACCAGAGCCGCGCTCCGAAGCCTCCACCAACGGCACCAGTCCCCTCCCCCTGCCGTCAGCCTCCGAACCACAGAGAGCAGCCGCAGCCCGAGTCCCAGCGCTACTCGACGCTTTCTGGACCCGCATTACATCTCTCCCTTTGCTGGTGCGCCACCCAAAACCAGCAGCACGTCTTCAAGCAAGTCTCTTGACTGTACTGGCCTCAACGGCTCATCGGGACCCACAGATAGCCTGTCGCTGGGTAGCCTCAGCGCAGACAGGGCTCACTATCTGTCAGCCATCAGTTTGCAAGAGGAACGTCTTGGGCAAGCGGCGCGCAGCCAGGATCTCCTTTCCCCCGGGAGTCCGTTCTCCTCTGGAAGCCCACTGTCCAAACAGTCTCGATCATCCAGTTTTAATATGCAGATTATTTCCCAGGTCTAGAATGATTTTGCTGGACTATGTGTGTGCATGAGTGAGAGAGAGAGAGAAAGCGTGAGAGAGAGAGAGAGAAGCAGAAATGTTAACGTGCATGCGTACAAGCATGTTGTCTTATGATGTGTGTGTGTGAATGTGTTCGAATGAGGGTGCGCTCATACACTTTTATTTGATCACTACATTATGCACTTGGGTTCGGTGTGGAGGAAATATTTGTTTTGCACAAAGGACATATTCAAGTGTACATGATCCGAGACTGTTTTAAATGTGCCATACAAACAAACAATAACAACATGGTGTTAGTAGGAACAAACATTACTGTATCAGAGCAATGAACTTCAAAAACCGACAATCATGGTCAGTGCATCGAGAAAGGCCTGATAGTGCATGATCCAAAGAGTCTTATCCAACCCAGCTGTACTGTAGGTCGTCCTGAAGAAATCCTCTTCCATGTCACCGTTTTCGGTTTGTGCTGATTGAGCTTACTGTTGCCTGTGCTGTCCACCCATCATAGAAAATACATTGTGTGTGGACTGCCTCAATGAAATGCTAAAAAAAACAGTATATGTTGTACTTTGGAACAGGTTTATATTTTAAATTGTGTATATTTGTGTAAATGATTATTGTACTATAGAAAGAGTATATGCTAACAGAATCTATATTGCTTGTACAGAGATAGAAAGCTATCTGCTGAATGGTGAATAAATGTGCTGTTCATGGGAGTGCAGTCTTGTTTTTTCATATAACATATTTTATATGGGGATCAATGCAGTAGACTGCATGTTAGGTTATCATATGGCAGACATTTTTTATTATTAATATGAGATACATACAGTGTATATATATAAATAAATAATACAACACACACACACACACACACACACTACCATTCAACAGTTTGGGGTCTGTAAGATTAATAAAAAAAACACTTTTGAAAGAAGTCTCTTATGCTCACCGAGGCTGAATTAGTTGAAACAAGTAAAAATGAAAAAAATTACAATTTAAAACGTTCTCCATTTTACATGTTTTAAAATAAAAATTTTCATATGTATGTATGAGAGAGAGAGAGAGTCATCCTATTGGTGCAGTAGAGGGAGACAGAGGACTGAAAACAGCACACACATGTTCTGTTGTAATCATTGAATGTTAGAATACATTTGCTGTGTCTGATTAAAGGGAAAACTTTAGATAAGTTTAAATTTTTAATATGTCTACTATATGCACTATACATAAAAAAACTTAAATTTATCAGAGGAAGTACAGTGGTTCTTAACCAGGGGGCCGAGACCCACAAAGGGGACCTCAAGATGACTTTTAATTCATTTCCTCAACAACTTCATTTCATTCAAGAACCAGGATTCCCACAGTCTTGGAAGACCTTACTGTATAAGGAAATTTTAAAAGTGTAGTATAGTACTAGTAGGGAATTTTTTATACCCAATAAAATAATTTAGAGCTTCACAGAAAAATATACTAGAAAAAAAAAAATTTATAAATATATTTTTCTAGTATGTTTTTCTGTCAAGCTCTAAAATATTTTATTGGGTATAAATTGCTATTTGTCAGAAAAAAAAAAGTAGGCCTACAACAAACTAACAAATATAATCACGAATGCCTAAAAGTGATGTAAATTCATTTGTAAAAAAAAAAAAAAGTACTCTGAAGACCTTTCAGTTATTGAAACTTCTAGAATTATGGAATTTGATTGAATAATTTAAATTTATTTATTTAATTATTTAAATATATTGCCACTCCTAGTTTTAGTTTCTTTGGGGGAAAAAAACTATCATAAATATCTTGGGGGCCTTTGAATATTGTCTTTGACAGTGGGGGACTTTGGAGTCATAAAGGTTGAGAACTGTTCGTGTAGTCTAAAAACTGGGCTGGAAATATACAGTCCTTTACCTTTTTAATATACAGGAGAGTTTGCATATTTTAAAAGGTGGGGTTGGTTACAGAATAGCATTTTTTCTTCCCTCTTCAGCATGCAGTGAAAGTTGCTTTATATTAGCTAAAAGCTAAACAGTCCACTCTTCACTGACACCTACTGGAATTTAATTGGGTGCTTCTCATGGAAGGCTGTGCCCTTTTTTTTTTTTTTTTTTTTTTGCCATTTCAAAACTTTATTTAAAGTTACTACAGAAACACTTTTAGTTTAGTGCTGAACAAGCAAAAGCAGAGAGACATTCATGAAAACAGAGAGCAGAGAAGCAGATGATGTTTGTGAAAAAAGGTCAAACGAAACCGGCTTATCCAAGAGAACGCGAAGGCCTTTCAAAGTTAACTTCATCCAGAGACAAAAACTAATATTGCTTGAAGCAACAAGAAAAAGCATAAAAAGATGCAAAGATCATTGCAGATTCATCTCAAGGCATCTCCGAATCAGTGATTCTTAAACATTTTTCTTAAGCCATTCATATATAACAAAACTGTACACAAATAATGGGGCTTAAGACTTTACAACACTGATCGTGTGACGAACCAACTCTTTGAGTATGTACAAAATTTGAAATGTTCTCACTGATTTTAGATTATGTAACTCAAAAAACCTTAATCCCAAAACTCCTCCCTGGCTTTCACATATTAAACGTCATTATTACTGTTATACAACGAGTTATTCTAACCATGATAATCCTTTATGGATTTTGTGACATAAAAATCAAAATGAGAAATTCTAACCTTTTATTTTTGCCCTTTGTGGTAAAAATACATGGGTGTGAAGGCTGTGTCCTAGTAAGGCTGCATGCATATCTCGTCTGCCACGTCATCAAGCGACGCCGAAGGATGTCTCAATTTGAAGGATCCTTGGAAGGCAGCCTTCATTTTGCATCCTTCATTCAGCTCATTTTGAAGGATACATCAAGTGCATCCTTCGCGTCCTTCAATCACCCACAATCCTTTACGGAAAACAAATCAGCACTGAGCTTGTTTGAGTTCATTATGAAGCGTAAGACAAAAATAATGTTTTCGGAGATGAAGGCATGTTATCTTTTGTTTTGGTGTAAATTAATCTTAAAGGGATAGTTCACCAAAAATGGAAGCCCCATTGACTTCCATTTGGAAAAAAAGAAATACTGCAGAAGTCAATGGGGTCCATCAACTGTTTAGTTACCGACAGTCTTCAAAACATCTTCTTTTACGTTCAGCAGAAGAAAGAAATTCATACTTTGGAACAACGAATGATGACATAATTTGAAATGATGATGGAATTTTTTAATTTTTGGTTGATTTTTTTAAACCAAATGTATTTTAACAGTAAGAAATTCAAATCAAGTCTGAATCCTCTTACAATTTTGTAAAAAAAAAAATGTTTTAATGGAGATCATCTATATAAAATTTTCTGTAAAACTGCTTAAAAAACCCCCTAAACAAATACATTTTTAATCCTAATATTCTAATATATAATTATTATAAGGATAAATATATAATATTTATTAGGATAAATATTATATAGAAGTATAGAATATAGAAAATAAAATTATTGGGTAAAATGTTTTTGGTTAAAACATAAGCTGGCCTAATGGTTAGTAATTTTAACAATAAGTAAATATTTTTCAAATTATATTTTAATAATTTGTTTTGTCTCTAGTACAGTAAACCCTAACAATTTCACATCGGAAACAACATTTATGTTATACATCAAATAAAAAGTTCTGGTTAGAGTAAAAAGTAAGAAAATATGCCAATGTGAAGCCCGGATGTTATGTGAGTGTGACCAAATGCGGAAGCGGATTCTTTTACTCGAACATCACGTGTTGCTCAATCCAACGCATTTCATTGGCTGATTCTGAGGCGGGAGTTTCAGATTGCTGGGCATTCAGGATACTCCTTCTATGTATTTCAAACGAGCTGTAGTTTTTTCTAACTTGGACAACCTATACACATTTTAAAAAAATTGGCTCTTTTGTAGCATTGGAGTGTATTTTAAACTCTTACGCAAACTTATGGCTGTGAAACGGGGTGTTAGTGAGATCTAAAGAACTGGCAATTGGATTACCGTCGTTAGCCGCTTTATTAGAAAACAACTAACTGTCAACTCGTCTCGTGCCTGTTCGCTCACGAATTTCAAGTTTTAATCCGAGCTCGCGCTTGTCTCTTTCAACGGTCAACCTTGGGACTATCATGAGCCCTTAGTTTTGCATTAAATCCGGAAACTTTGTAGAAATATCTTTTATATCTTCACCTAGATATGGATAACTGCCGCCATCCACGATTTGAAGGTTCGAATCAAGGGAGGGAGAATAAAATACATCGAAAGAAAGGATTTGGAGTCGTAGTGTCATCCCAGGGCAATTCAAGTGGGGATGACGGAGAGAAGAAGCCTAAATTCGTAAGTAACACCATTTAAAATAACCTCTGTCATTTAAACGTGTTTCTGTCCTCATATCTGGTTATTATTCTAGTAAATCATCACATGTCCCCACCCTGTTCATACACTGCTGCTGAATGGAATCACTGGTTCTTTAGTAACTTAGTGGGACAAAACAGCCTACAAAACATTTTGTGTCAAGGAATTACTTTGAATCTGTTTGCGTTCAGAGGCATTGATCTGTAACGTTATTTTGGTGCAATGTCCTGCTTTAATTTTCTCACAATGTGTAGGCTATGTTGCCTGTCACTATACATTAGCCAACACTATCAAGTAAAAAAAAAAAAAAAAGATTTAAATAATTGTCATGAATATTGACAAATTTAACATTGAATGAATTAACTCAATATGATTTTCTGCAAAGAAAAAACCCTGCATATCACGGATGTATTAAATGAGGAAACATATCTAATCATCCCAAACAACACCCTCAAATCCTGTGAAATATTAATCCTGGACATCAGAATGCAGTTTTAATAGTAGCCTACTTCGTTTATAACATCATCTTTCTGTCAAGGCCTGATGGTAATGTTTCTTAAAAAGAAACCACCAGTCTAAAGACCATAACAAAATACTTTAAATAGATTCAAGTATGTAGGTAACTGAACAGAATACACACACACACACACACACACACACACACACAGGTTTGATGTGCACTATATGAACTTAGTCAAATTAGTCTGTATCTGTTCTGTCAGTGCTCTTTGTTTCTTCACTTCAGCAATCAAATGTCTTATTTTATGCAAATTGAAGATACTTCTTCAAATTGACTGCATTATGACTGTGTTTTTAGATGGATTTAAGCAACAGCAACAATTTTTTGTTGTTTTATTTTAACAGACAGCCGAGAGACAAATGGATAAAAACACACCCACACACATTGAACCTCTTGTTCAATGCCATTAACTTAGTTGTTGACTGCCAGTGCTAAATCAAAGGATAAAATTAGCTCAGGGATAAGACAGAATAATCCAGTCTCGGTTTAGCGCTGCTGGTGTAGGAACAGTATTTTTTCTGAAAGCCCACCCAACATGATGAGTGAGAGATCCTGCCACTGTTAAATAATATGCTTTGACTTCTGAAAATATCACCATGTTGTTTAGGTCAGGTGTTATTCTATAGTCTTTGTTTAGGTCAGGCAGGGGTTTTCAAACTTGTTAATGCCAAGAACAAGAACCCCCAAATATGAAATATCTTCGTAAAATATCAAGGCAGCTATATATATCCATCAAAAGTTTGGGGTTGTTAAGATTAAAAAAAAAAAAAATTCACCTTATGCTCATCTAGGCTACATTTTATTTGATCAAAAACAAAATAATATTGTGAAATATTATTACAATTCATAATGAC